GTTCGCTATACATTTCCATACCCTAATAAGCTTGAAACAACTACACAGAGTACTTAAAATATGATTGAGCCCTATAACAAGAAAGAACACTAACATCTCCAGGCTTATGTTGGATAAAGCAACCATTATGTTTGGTGTACAGTACATACAGTATGTACACGTGTGTGTGGGGGAGTTAAGATTTAGATAAAGTAACAATTGGGAGACCAAGATTAAATGGGTTTTGTCCCTGTCCATGCACATAAAAATACATGACCTGAGGAGAAATTATAAATGTTTCGTCTTCCCTCTTAGGTTTCCTGATAATCGGACTGTTCTACCCAGACCATAGCCACAATTCTAAACCAATAGAAAGTGAGTGGGCTTACCAGGAGAGGAGAGGAATACGGCTTTCCTGCAGCTCAACACACAGGTAATTGCTTTGTCTTCAATATCCTTCAATCAAATCTGAACCATCAGTAATTATGGATGTTCAATAGTGATCTGATCTATTAATGCAGTTGTGAAGTTATATGCTGAAACTATTTTGTAGATATGGTCAAACTGATTGATTTTAAGCACTAACAAAGTGTAGGCCTATATACACTCAGCCTGTGGAGTATAAACTTGATAAAAGTTTGAGGAGTTTAATGATTTCACAGATCAGAAAGTTGCCATTATTTGTCAAATTAAAGTTGTTTATTTATGATGTGTTTGCTTTTTATCCAGACTTCTAGCTATGCTACTAAGGCACCCTTGTCTCAGTCTGTCATTGAATGACTATTACGTTAACTACTTCCTATTATGCATCAGACCTCCCATCTCCTCCTGTCTGAAAAGCAACATTCGATTTCGACACGTTTGAGGATCATGACACGTTTTAGACGCGTTATAACATGTTAGCTACGTTGAATAGCCTGTCAACAACACAAACCTGCGTGATAATATCGCCGAGGGCAAGCAAATACTTGGGGAACTCAAGCTACATTGAGGGAGATAGCTAGCTGTCTAGAGGTATGTTGATGTCACCTGATGAGAAAAGCCAACAATACACATTGATTGCTAGCTCAGTTAGCTAACGTTAGCTAGCTAGCTACTGGTATCTTTTCTTTAGAACTTCAATTTGGGATTACCTAGCTAATTAGCTAGATGTTAACTAAATTGACGTTTTCCATTCAGCTAGATAACCGAACATCCAACACAGATCTCGATAGTTAATATTTGCTTGAAGGCTAGCTCGTTGTGTCTGAGAATGTGCAAACGCCACACATGGAACTTCACTTGCTATAACGGCTAACTGTGATACTGTCTAGTTAGCTAGCTAAATTCCTTATAAAGTCAGGCAAAATAATAGGGACGTGGCATTAATTTTCTTATTATCTACACTCTTTCCTTTACCTGATCAACCTGCCTCTTTCACAGTCTCGTGAATGGCTTTGCCCGACTTAAAGTAACTAAAAATAGCTAGTAAATGCATAGCTGCTAACACAGTTAGCTAGCTAACTCACATGCACTGCACATTTATTGAATCTTGCGGGTGCTTCTTCCGGTTGTCTCTCGATTTTGAGTTCAGCGGGGGTGACAGATGATACTGTTAAGGCTCATTCTGACAAATAGGCGTGAAGACCTCAGCATTTGTCAGATCATTGCCAGATAATTGACATCTCTGTGTTAGCACTTCATTTTATCACTCTTGAATATGTTAATTTGTTAAAAGTCAGGAAAGTATTATTTACCTGTTGGGATCATCATTATCAGAAAATTGTAATTATTGAATAGCTTCACAAATAATTGGGAAATAATAAATGGTCACCTATGCCAAAGATGGGAGCTAGATCAGGGTGTGAAATTATTTGCATGGATATATTTTACTAGAAAGCATCTGTGTCTGTTTCTCTCTCCCTCCTTTGCAGTTGGACTGTAACTCCTGTTACAAATAGTAGAGAGGTGGGGTTGGGGCCAGGGTAGTAATGTCATAGTTGACGTGTTACGTAAAGATTACAGGCCATAGTGAACAGCGTGTGAGAAGCATTGGGCCACCCAAAGTACATTGGCCCACATTGCAACACCTCCTGCTGAGCTGTGGAAAGGAGGAGAAGGGTAGGCCCAGTGGCCTACAGTGTAGAGTTCAGAGACAGGTTCCCCGTTTTACACAATCCCTGTCTGTGTGCTGTCATAATCCCACAATCTCTGGGTTTTTTTGTAACATTTTTGCATTGCATTTTGAAAGAGTTCTCTTTCTTCAGATGATTAAGTGATAAACGCCCATGCACAACTGTCTCTAATGCTGTTTGTAGGTTCCAGTGCGTCATAATGGAGAGTGTTGTCCATCTCCGTACTGGGATTCCTTATGGGGTTAAGGGATTGCTGCTACTCTGCTCTGGATTAATGACCCTAATCTGGAGAGGTCAGAGTAGGTTGGAGCTGGGATTATGGTCTCTCTCACATTTTAAACATTTTTACATACGGTTCTCTCACACGCACTCTCCATCGCCTACTTCTCTCTCTCATTGTTATGTCAAATTATTCTCTGCTGGTGTGCAGCCATTTGTCTTTTTTTTTCCCCAGTCATTTTAGCAGACGCTCTTATCCAGAGCGACTTACAGTTAGTGAGTGCATACATTTTCCATACTGGCCCCCCGTGGGAATCGTACCCACAACCCTGGCGTTGCAAGCGCCATGCTCTACCAACTGAGCTACAGGAGGTCTTATAGGCTACTGGTTGTTGCATATTTATGAGGGAATAGGCAGCCACACTGCAGTAGGGCTGGGAATTGCCAGGGACCTCACGATACGATATTATCACGATACTTAGGTGCCGATACGATATGTATTGCGATTCTCACGATTCTATATTTATTGCGATTCGATATTGCGATTTGATGTTCCAAGTACACTACCAGTCAAAAGTTTTAGAACACCTACTCATTCAAAGGTTTTTCTTTATTTTTACTATTTTCTACATTGTAGAATAATAGTGAAGACATCAACGCTATGAAATAACACATATGGAATCATGTAGTAACCAAAAAAGTGTTTATCAAATCAATTCCTCAAATAGCCACCCTTTGCCTTGATGACAGCTTTGCACCCTCTTGGCAATCTCTCAACCAGTTTCACCTGGAATGCTTTTCCAACAGTCTTGTAGGAGTTCCCACATATGCTGAGCACTTGTTGGCTGCTTTTTCTTCACTCTGCGGTCCGACTCATCCCAAACCCTCTCAATTCGTGTTGAGGTCGGGGGATTGTGGAGGCCAAGTCATCTGATGCAGCACTCCATCACTCTCCTTCTTGGTCAAATAGCCCTTACACAGTCTGGAGGTGTGTTGGGTCATTGTCCTGTTGAAAAACAAATTATAGTCCCACTAAGCCCAAACCAGATGGGTTGGCGTATCGCTGCAGAATGCTGTGGTAGCCATGCTGGTTAAGTGTGCCTTGAATTCTAAATAAATCACAGACAGTGTCACCAGCAAAGCTCCCCCACACCATAACAACTCCTCCTCCATGCTTTACGATGGGAAATACACATGCGGAGATCATCCGTTCACCCACACCGCATCTCACAAAGACACGGCGGTTGGAACCAAAAATCTCTAATTTGGACTCAAGACCAAAGGACAAATTTCCACCGGTCGAATGTCCATTGCTCGTGTTTCTTGGCCCAAGCAAGTCTCTTCTTCTTATTGGTGTCCTTTAGTAGTGGTTTCTTTGCAGCAATTCGACCACGAAGGCCTGATTCACACAGTCTCCTCTGAACAGTTGATGTTGAGATGTGTCTGTTACTTGAACTCTGTGAAGCATTTATTTGGGCTGCAATATCTGAGGCTGGTAACTCTAATTAACTTATCCTCTGCAGCAGAGGTAACTCTGGGTCTTCCTTTCCTTTGGCGGTCCTCATGAGAGCCAGTTTCATCATAGCGCTTGATGGTTTTTGCGACTGCACTTGAAGAAACTTTCAAAGTTCTTGAAATGTTCCGTATTGACTGACCTTCATGTATTAAAGTAATTATGGACTGTCGTTTCTCTTTGCTTATTTGAGCTGTTCTTGCCATAATATGGACTTGGTCTTTTACCAAATAGGGCTATCTTCTGTATACCCACCCTACCTTGTCACAACACAATGCATTAAGAAGGAAAGAAATTCCACAAATTAACTTTTAAGAAGGCACACCTGTTAATTGAAATGCATTCCAGGTTACTACCTCATGAAGCTGGTTGAGAGAATGCCGAGAGTGTGCAAAGCTGTCATCAAGGCAAAGGGTGGCTATTGAAGAATCTCACATTTAAAATATATTTTGATTTGTTTAACACTTTTCTGGTTACTACATGATTCCATATGTTATTTCATAGTTTTGATGTCTTCACTATTATTCTACGATGTAGAAAATAGTAAAAATAAAGAAAAACCCTTGAATGAGTAGGTGTGTCCAAACTTTTGACCGGTAGTGTATGTCTACTGCTGAGAGACGAGAGCATGAGAAAATTAGTTTTGATCAGTCATGGAAATAAAAGTGCTGAAAACAAGCTAAATGATCAAAAGTACCCGATTTTTGGCGCAGGTGCAGCTGACCAGCGCTAGCTAACGTACTTTGACTCCACTATAATATTGTCCAAAATAATATTCCGATATGTAACTGTAGCGGTTTTTCCTCCCATCACTACACTGCAGTGCCTTACATTTTGACTGTGAAAGCCTACAGTCTGTTTTTGCTTTTAATAAGGGAAAAGGAGGCATATTGCAGAGTGGGTATTATGTTCAGTCTATGCAGCTCTCTGTTGATGCTTGACAGTCAAGCCAAAGGTGTCTTCGCCGTGACATGTCAGATGTCAAGCCAGTGATATAATTCAGCGATGAGGCAACAGCTTTGATTATCTTAATGTTGACTCCTTAGGATTGATGATGGTCCTGGTTGTCTGGAGGGGTTTATTGATACTAACATGTAATGAAAGGGTGATACAGAAGTGGATATGTGACAATCTGAGACCTCTGTCTCACTCCCCCCCTCACATCTTTCTCCCCTCTGTCTGCAGTGATCATGTCTTCCAGGGAGCGTCGGTCAGACCTATACATCAAGGCAGAGCCCAGCAGTCCAGAGGGAGGTGGAGGAGGCCGGGCCAGCCCAGGGGGAGCCTCCTCAGACTCCTCACAGAGTGGTGGAGGAGGGACAAGAGGAGACGGGGTTGGGCGCTACTCACCCCCTCTGTACACACCGGGCCTGCGCTGGCACTTCAAGGAGGAGGGTGCTGATGGGGCGGAGGAGGGATCCACAGGTAGCGGAGGAGGGCGGTGCAAGTATGCCCTGAGCACGCTACCCAAGAGACTGTGTTTAGTGTGTGGAGACGTAGGGTCTGGCTACCACTACGGTGTAGCCTCATGTGAGGCATGCAAGGCCTTCTTCAAGAGAACCATCCAGGGTAAGGATGGGTGTGTGGGTGAAGTTGAGTGTGTTTCCTGTGCGTTTCTGCAATCCAGTATAATGAATGAAATGGGATAGACCTTGACTGCTTTGACAGAAGTCTCATATCGCTATTGTTGGTTTCTTCTCCTTGTCTCCGTCCTTCTTTCCACCTCCTTGCCTTACCTAAGGTAACATTGAATATAGCTGTCCGGCATCAAACGAATGTGAGATCACCAAGAGGCGCAGAAAGGCTTGCCAGGCATGTCGCTTCACCAAGTGCCTTAAAGTAGGCATGCTGAAAGAGGGTGAGTATATGATCCAGAGCCCTTAACTAGTGGACTGGTCTGTTTGATGCAGTGTGAAAAGTAGTTATTTGATTAAGATCTGCCTTTTTTTTATCTCCATACTTCTCCAAACAAAGGGAGTTTGTTTGTCTCTTTTTCCCTCCTACTCTCCTACTCTCTCACTCTCCTACTCTCCTACTCTCCTACTCTCCTACTCTCCTACTCTCCTACTCTCCTACTCTCCTACTCTCTCACTCTCCTACTCTCTCACTCTCCTACTCTCTCACTCTCCTACTCTCCTACTCTCTCACTCTCCTACTCTCCTACTCTCTCACTCTCCTACTCTCCGTATCACTTTCGCTCCATTGTCGTGGTGTTGTGTGTTGCAGGAGTCCGTCTGGACCGGGTCAGAGGAGGGAGGCAGAAGTATAAAAGGCGCCCAGAGGTGGAGAATGCGACCTACCAGAGTGCCCCTCTACCGCTTAGGAAGGAAGGGGAGAAAGGTAGGAGATTATTCAGGATACATTTTCAGAGTTTGTCTTGAAAGAACACTCTTAAATGTGCAGTCCATTTTTCCAGAGAGCCCTCATTTCTCAACAGAAGCATCAAGTAACATTATTTCCACACAAGGACGAGTTTAGATGAACATAGTGCCTTTGTTCTTTGTGACATCAGTTGTGCCATGACCTTTGCTTTCTGTTTGTGTGTGTGACCCAGGCTCCTCCAACATCATCGTGTCCCACCTCCTGGTGGCAGAGCCAGAGAAACTGTTTGCCATGCCTGACCCCCTGCAGCCTGATACGGCTCAGCGCACACTCACCACCCTCTGTGACCTCGCGGACCGCGAGCTGGTCGTCATCATCGGCTGGGCCAAACACATCCCCGGTAAGGGGGGCAGTGGAGAGGAATTGGCGGGGGAGGGAGATTGACATGGGAAGAGAATGGTGGAAAGTATGGAAAGTGAAGTGAAATAAGTTAGTGGGAACTAGCCCTCAGCTCTTATCAGTAGCCCAGCAGTGGTTCACTATGCCTTAATCAGGGACTAGAAGGCTGTCTCGTTGTATCATCTTTTTGCCTAGTGATTGATCAGTCAGTCTACCCTGTCCCCCCCTTGCAGGCTTCCTGTCGCTGTCCCTGGCAGACCAGATGTCGGTGCTGCAGTCCGTGTGGTTGGAGGTGCTGGTGCTGGGTGTGGCCTTCCGCTCCCTGGGCTGTGAGGATGAGGTAGTGTTCGCTGAGGACTTTGTCCTTGACGAGGAGATGTCCCGCGTGGCTGGACTGACAGAGCTCAACGCAGCCATCAGCCAGCTGGCCCGACGCTTCCGCTCCCTGCAGCTTGACCGGGAGGAGTTTGTCATGCTCAAAGCCATCGCACTCACTAACTCAGGTAAACTAGCTATACAAAAGTATACCCATAGAATACCCATACAATCAGCATTAGGCGGAGTGTCATAACATGAAAATGTGATGAAAGCAGTAGGTGAGACTGAAATACCGAACCCTCCATATGTACAATTAGTTGCTAATATGACGACATGCTTTATTTGAAGCGCTATTCTACTTTCAGTTTCATTAAGCAACAGTTTATGTCCAATAGTTTATTTAAAAGAAAATACAACTCAAGAAATCAGCGAAGACAGATTAGTAAAGATCTGTGTCATAGTCTCAATCTCTGAAGAGATTGTTGATGAAAATAACTCCAGCCCTGAGGGACTGACAGACAATTGCTGTAAACAGCAGATTCACCCCTACGGTCTGCTTAGCCCACAAAGGCACTATTTGTTATGCAAATATAAAGATGGTCATTACTCTGGACCGGTTTGTCCTGTTCCTTAATCACCCACGTTTGCTTACAAAACCCTCTCTCCAAAAGATAAAAGAAAGCGTTTAGAAAATACACCCTCTTCCCCCACTGATATACACTCTGACCATGCTCCCCCTCTCCCCTGCCAGACTCTGTGTACATAGAGGACATGGAGGCGGTGCAGAAGCTGAGGGACCTCCTCCACCAGACCCTGTTGGAGATGGAGTGCCAGCGACGCCCCGAGGACCCCCAGCGGGCGGGGCGCCTCCTCCTCACCCTCCCCCTCCTCCGTCAGACGGCTGGTCGCGCCCTCACCACCTTCTACAGCATCAAGACCCGAGGCGGCGTGCCCATGCACAAACTCTTCCTAGAGATGCTGGAAGCCATGATGGACTCGCCCTAGAGAGAAGGGAGGATGAGGAGAAGCCAAGGAGAGCGGATGCAAGGCCACGATGAGAGACAGGCATGGCTGGCTGGTGTGAATGGAGAGGTTATTATTAGATTTTGATAATGAAGAATGTGGAGATTATCTCTGGATTTTTTTGCATAGCCTCTTCGGAGATTCAAAATTGTGTTTAAAAAAACGGAGAAAACATGTATACATGTTGTAGATGCCCTCAGTGGAGGTTGATGGTGGAGTTTAACTCCTTAATACCTGACTGCCAAACTTCATTGAAAGAGTCCAAGACTTAGTCAGCATGAAAATGGGAAGAAACTCAATGAAAGACATCCAATAAATTTGAATGTCAGAATCATATTAGATTTCCACTATCCCTAAGGTTTTTCATTTGTAGCATTATCCACTGGGCACAGACGTCAATTCCACGTCTATTCCATGTTGGTTCAACGTAATTTCATTGAAATGATGTGGAAACAACGTTGATTCAACCAGTGTGTGCCCAGTGGGTAATCTTCACATCAGAAACTACTGAAGGACTGCAGTTAGATATCTAAGACCAGACTGTAACCTTGTGGCTTAGTCTTGATTGTGAAAAATGCAATATCTCCCTCCACACAAAAGTCATACTAAAATACAGGCAAAGAAACAACCATTTACAAAGACTTCAGTATAGGGTCAGACCAACATGCACCCAGAAGAGTAGTACACAGACACACAGTCTTACAATTTACACATAGGAATTACTTGCAATATTTTTAAAGCCATACAATACTTTACATACAAAAAAAAGAATAGTGTTGACTAGGCAATGACTGGCTATATGTATAGACCTGGGTGGCAGGGGGGGGGGGGGGGGGGGGGGTGGAAAAACAGCTTATAAAAGGCTCTGCAATTGATTATTAGTCCAAGAAAAGAGAATATGATGATTGTGTCTCTGTACTTGGAAGTTGTTCAATTTTATTTATACTGTAAGTAGTCCCAATAGGCATACAAAAAAAAAAATTATGCGTAAGCATTTGTGTGAGTGTATGTGTGAGAGAGAGCGAGAAGGTGCACTGTAAACTTGCAGTGTTGCCACCACACTGAAGCGGCAAGATCAGGGAAAAAAGCAACTGTTCTACTTTCTTGGTCAGCCTGGCCATAACAGAGTGAATAAAGAAGATTGGGTCAGAGGGGAACTACAATGGCTCCTGAGCATGTTTTGATTGGATACTTGATTCTCCAGATCTCTTTGCTGGTCCTCTCCAACCCCTCTGATTCAGATGGAATGTGCTGTTTAAAACCGTTAGTTTCATTAACTGACTGCCGTTATTAGTGATCAAATCGATTTGGGCTAAAATTAGGAATTGAAACGGTTATATATGACATGTCATTTCAGCGGAACAGTTTGCTTCTCCTTTTGCAGCTGCTGAAAGACTGAAGAAAGGGACTTCTGTTGTTTTGACCTGGAGGTCTTCGTACTGTGTATGACCTTTGAATTGCAAGCCTAATAGTGCCCAAATGGGGTTTAGAGCAACATGAAATGCAACACATTCAGCCTCATATGGGAATCTACAGCCAGTCTGACTGAGACCATCCTTTTAATCCTTCTCATAGTTTCTATTTGTTTGTTTACTTGTTTCTCAGTTTTATGGGCTTGATTGGTGATATACATTTATCTATTCAGAGCCCTTACAGTGTCTGTAAGCAACAGTGTCTGTAAATTACAGTGTCTGTAAGCTACCAGAAATTACAAAATGTAAAGGGCCTGGACTGTTGGTCCTTTGGCCACTTGCTGAGGAAGAATTTGATCGTAAATCAATCAGAGCAGCAAAATGCTAATTCAATCTACAATGTCATAACATTTCTAGTAATACAGCACCCAACATGTATGATGTAGACTCTACATCATACATGTTGGGTGCTGTATTACTAAAAATAAGTTATGACTGTGTATGCTCACTGTTGAAAACTTTAGAGCATGGCAAACAAACCCATGAGAGCTGAATCCAGTAAATGTGTCAAGATAGTCCCTGACATGAATGATGGGATAGATTAGACTAATTGCCACAGTTAATTGAAATTCATACTTGAGTATCTGTTTTTTCTACAGTACTTTTTTTCTTTCTGGGATTTTAATCTTGAGTTTAGATTGTTAAACTTGGAAAGTTTGGTACTGAAATAAGACTGTTAAACTCAGAAAGTTTGGTACTGAAATAAATAATATAATAATATGCCATTTAGCAGACGCTTTTATCCAAAGCGACTTACAGTCATGTGTGCATACATTTTTGTGTATGGGTGGTCCCAGGGATCGAACCCACTACCCTGGCGTTACAAGCACCGTGCTCTACCAGCTGAGCTACCAGCTGAGCTACGGAATAATGCAATCCATTGTGAATGTTATGTGTTTCAAATTGATTATTGAAATGGATTTTTTTCTTCTTCTGATAATGCATTGAAGAAAAACATGTTCTTTAGTAGTATGTTAATTCAACCATGTTGAATTAACATACTCTCCTCTCAATTACGCCACCTAGCTGTGAGAGGAGATTTTGCAGTCTGGAAACTCCCAAACAAATGTTCCAGTTTTAGTTCTGTTCTTCATGGCTGTGGATGTTTGCGTTTGATGACCATTTGTGGCTCCATTATTGTAATTCAGGTTTTTAAATTTAAAAGTAACACTAGGTGACAATTGTTTCAACTCTGTACTATATCTTGCTGTCTGATTCGTTATGTGTTTTGTTCTATCATAATTTTTTTATTTTGTTTCTGAAAGACGGAATAAAAAAAAATGTGTACAGTTTAATAAAGTTAATGTTTGTGTCAATATTAACTCTAATATAATAATACAAAAGGTAGTGTTTTCATAAGGATACGCATTATGTAATGCCACTTTGTCTGTCATATATAGGTACAGGGGGCGGGGGGGGGGACTTTAGACTATCACAATTTTGAGGATGTAAAGTCATTGGTAGTTGTTAGTATGTTTGTGTACATTGACGTAAATGAGCAATACAAGAAATTACCAAAACTCTGTTTCACATTTCCTTGTATAGTCGCATAATGTAAATTAAACATCAACAGTAATAATAATAATTAATACTAGTACTAAAGCTTATAATATGGAAAAATTCAAATCAATATTTGTATTTTAAAAATACTGTATTTAAAATATTAAATTCTATTTTTCACTCAATTTGCTGATGTTTGTTGATACTCATTTTATTTTTCGTGTGGGTTTAAGTCTAATGGCTGTGAATATCTGTGTTTGTACTGTTTTTCGGTAAGCTACAATGGTTCATTTGATGTGACTGTCTAAACAAAATGTTCATAATTAAATCACTGTGAAGACAAATGCTACACTGCAGGAAACAAGGGGTAGATTCAAATATTGTAGGTGCTTTGTGGTTTGTAATAAATTAGCAGACACCATCACATATCATTGGTCTCGTACGTCTTCTGTCATGATTTGTTTGTTAGAATGTTTGTCTGTCTGCTGCTGTCCTGTTTCCCAGTCATGTTAAACAATATTTCCTGTCCTGCTCACCAAAGTTCATCGGTCAGATATAACCACAGACATCCTATTAAATTAGTTATAATATGTAAGTCCATGGACATAACTGCATAATGCAGATTCTCAGCAAACATGTACCCCTCTGCAGAGGTACAAGATCATATCAGATTTCATCAAGAACCCCAATTTGAAAGACATTAGTACTAAATACAAAAAGTTCACAAACGGACTATCTCCCATACCAACAGTTTACCATCAACACTTTAGACATGCATCCTACATAGCCTCATGCACAGAGATCGCTATGACCTATGGCTATACCTCAGTCCATCACCATTTACAGCAGGAGGCACATTATCTATCTATGTGGCCAATGGGCTTGAACCTGGGTCATCTGTGGAAGATTATATTAGCCCTCTCAGCTAAAAACCTAGGCATGTTTTTGATTTAAATGAAAATAGCACATTATCTGCCAAACTCTGCCTCTCTCATTGACACCAATGGAACCTAAAGATGTGCTCGGGTCTCTCGGTTTTGATTGGTTGGATCAGAGAGGATCTTGCTGAGACTGTCCTCTCATTGGACACTGGAAGAAGTGCAACAGCTTTTGCTTCCCATTTGCAGTGCTTTAATTACATATAGTTCCGCATTATAAAATCATTCCAGTTTCAATGTATAATTTGTAGGTCCCTATCTGGAAAATACTGTATTTAAAATATTAAATTATATTTTTCACTCAATTTGCTGATGCTTGTTGACACTCATTTATTTTTCGTGTGGGTTTAAGTCTAATGGCTGTGAATATCTGTGTTTGTACTGTTTTTCGGTAAGCTACAATGGTTCATTTGATGTGACTGTCTAAACAAAATGTTCATAATTAAATCACTGTGAAGACAAATGCTACACTGCAGGAAACAAGGGGTAGATTCAAATATTGTAGGTGCTTTGTGGTTTGTAATAAATTAGCAGACACCATCACATATCATTGGTCTCGTACGTCTTCTGTCATGATTTGTTTGTTAGAATGTTTGTCTGTCTGCTGCTGTCCTGTTTCCCAGTCATGTTAAACAATATTTCCTGTCCTGCTCACCAAAGGTCATCGGTCAGATATAACCACAGACATCCTATTAAATTAGTTATAATATGTAAGTCCATGGACATAACTGCATAATGCAGATTCTCAGCAAACATGTACCCCTCTGCAGAGTTACAAGATCATATCAGATTTCATCAAGAACCCCAATTTGAAAGACATTAGTACTAAATACAAAAAGTTCACAAACGGACTATCTCCCATACCAACAGTTTACCATCAACACTTTAGACATGCATCCTACATAGCCTCATGCACAGAGATCGCTATGACCTATGGCTATACCTCAGTCCATCACCATTTACAGCAGGAGGCACATTATCTATCTATGTGGCCAATGGGCTTGAACCTGGGTCATCTGTGGAAGATTATATTAGCCCTCTCAGCTAAAAACCTAGGCATTTTTTTTATTTAAATGAAAATAGCACATTATCTGCCAAACTCTGCCTCTCTCATTGACACCAATAGAACCTAAAGATGTGCTCGGGTCTCTCGGTTTTGATTGGTTAGATCAGAGAGGATCTTGTTGAGACTGTCCTCTCATTGGACACTCGAAGAAGTGCAACAGCTTTTGCTTCCCATGTGCAGTGCTTTAATTACATATAGTTCCGCATTATAAACTCATTCCAGTTTCAATGTATAATTTGTAGGTCCCTATCTGGAATCCTTGGGACGTCCAACTCTGACGTCACCCCATTGAAGTTGACATTTAAAACGCTTCAATGGGTTAAATAGTTCACATATGGGATCTGGAAAGTTAGTGCTAGGTGAGAGGTGGGAGAGATACTTGGCAAGGATGTTTGGGAAGGCTGTTTGGGGAACGGTCTGTTTGCAGCTGTATCCCTAAAATCAGTGGGGAAACATTCCAAGGGCACACAGCTGTAGAACGATGGACACGTCAGAGGTGGAGGAACTGCTGTCTCCAACTAAAGAGTTTCTACTCACATACTTTATGCCAGAGAAATGTTACAACTACTTTTTTGTCGACTTAAACTTTCTTCACGGTGAGGTCTGCTTGCCTGTTGGCCCGGCAAGGATGTGCTGCTGACGTGATATTCATTTTAGATTTGTTATTGAAAGATGCTTGCGTAGAGCGAAGCTCAGGAAACTTGCAGGCGTGATTGATACCAAGTTTTACAATGTTTTGGCAGCTTTGTATACAGTGTTTTTATAAGCCTTGCCGAAGGTCTTGTAAAGCCTACAGTAGATAGTTTGTAGCATTTTAACAAGCCCTCCACCACAGATTTGCATATGATAATTTGCTGGGTCACAACTTCACTCTTATAACGTTACTGGTATAGGTTGTCTGACAAAACGTTTTTTTTGTGATAATAGTGCCATGCTGGAAGATAGTTCTGAGCCAAACTGTGGGAGTGTGGATCATTCTTGGGACTGTGATGGGTGAGAAACGTATATCTCTCCCTCAGTCTTTGACTTCTCTCACACACATTATGCTAGGATTAATAATTGGGAAACGTCTGTTAGGCATAGCTTCTATATCTAAATATCTCTTTCTCTCTGTTGCTATGCCTTTTAGATTTTTTCCCTCTCTCATATGCCCTTCCCTCTCCTCCACCCTTCCGTCTGCCCTATAGCGCAGCTCCCTCAGCTGTGGAAGGTACTGAGGGCCAGGAGTACATCAGGGATCAGTTGGTGGGCTGTCCTACTGCAGGTCTATGCCATCACAGGTCCTGTGGTCTACTGCATCACCAACAACTTCCCCCTTGAGTATGATCAATTAATATCTGTTTTATTACAAACTCCTTTTTAACAAAAGTGATTTACACTAATCCGGCCTACAGTATGATGCTGATGAGCACAGACCAGTGAATTGGACAAAGCCTGTTATTGACAAAACATTGTGTTTTCGTCTTCCCCACGTGTGTGTGTCTGTTTGTTGCACAGAGCTTGGGCAGAGAGACTATTCATGTTGATGCAGTGTTTGGCCATGAGCGTCCTCATCCAACACTACAGTGGTAACACCCTCAAAGGTTTGACCACTCCTCTCTGTGTATACATGTGCTTCCAATGTGCCTGAGTCCCTGCCTATAGAGCACATTTACATCAATACTCACAGTACTGGTGAGGTTAAATGTTTTTAACACTTCGATTAGCTACTGTTTGGTAAGTCACCATCCCATTGGTAAAAGGATCAAATTAGGCAATGTTATGACAAAGTAGTTCAACATTTCACAGGAATATGAGTGTATGTTCTGTACCAGGGCTGTGTCATAACTGTCCTTGTTTCCTGCAGGTATGGTATTCCTCTTGGCCTACAGTGGTGTAATGTTGCTCCTGACCTCTCCTCTGGTCGCTGAACACGTCATCCCTGCGATGCAGGCCTCCAGCACGCTGGCTGTTGTTGCTAGCCGGGTATGATACCATACAATACTTTTATTTTCCATTTGCATGGAAATGTAACCAACTGCAAGGCTTATAGCAGTGGAGGTACAGTCAGCAGATGGTATAGACGGCTTGGTTGTTTAGCAACAAAACCGACGCTTGTGCAATTCTGGGGCAAAACAGACAGGGTTGGTTAAACTGTTGACAACATGTAAACTATAATTAGTCTCCAAATGTTTATTGAAAACATAAATAAATGTGCACAATGAGCACTTGTCTCAAATACATTGTTACAGTTGTTGGTTAGCTAGCCATATTAGCATAGACATGACATCAGTCAAAACACCTCAAAACAAGACATGGTCTCATTAACAAGATACAAAGAGCTGAAACGAGCCACCTACGATTAATTTTACATTTCATCTTAAGGGGCGTCGGGGGCACCGTGAGAGTTATTTAAGATGCTCTTCAAAGAGGTAGGGTTTCAGATGTTTTCGAAAGATTGGCAGGGACTCCACTGTCCTGACTTTAGGGGGAAGCTTGTTCCACCATTGGGGTGCCAGGACAGGGAAGAGCTTTGACTGGGCTGAGCGGGAGCTGTCCTCCCGTAGGGGTGGGAGGGCCAAGAACCAGAGGTGGCAGAACGGAGTGCTCGGGTTGGGATGTAGGGTTTGAGCATAGCCTGAAGGTAAGGCAGTTCCTCTTGCTGCTCCGTAGGCAAGCACCAGGGTCTTAAAGATAATGTTTGCTTCGACTGGAAGCCAGTGGAGTGTGCAGAGGAGCGGGGTGACATGTGAGAACTTAGGAAGGTTGAACACCGGGCAGGCTGCGGCATTCAGGATAAGTTGCAGGGGTTTGATGGCACAAGCGGGGAGCACAGCCAACAGAGTTGCAGTAGTCTAGATGGGAGATGACAAGTGCCTGGATTAGGACCTGCGCTGCTTCCTGTGTGAGGAAAGGTCGTACTCTACGGATGTGGTAGCGCATTAACCTGCAGGATCGGGTCACTGCTTTGATGTTTGCAGCGTCACACCAAGGTTCTTTGCACACTGGGAGGGGGACACCGTGGAGTTGTCAACCGTGATGGAGAGGTCTTGGAGCAGGCAGGCCTTCCCCGGGAGGAAGAGCATCTCCATTTTTTTGAGCTTGAGGTGGTGGGCCGACATCCAAGCTGAGATGTCTGCCAGGTACACAGAGATGCATGTCTCCACCTGGGTGTCAGGAGGGGGGAAGGAGAAGAGTAGTTGAGTGTCATCCGCATAGCAGTTATAGGAGAGACCATGTGAGGATATGGCAGAGCCGAGCGACTTGGTGTAAAGGGAAACGGAAAGGAGGGCCTAGAACCGAGCCCTAGTGGTCAGGGATGAGGGAAGTGAGGAATGGGAGAAGGTCTCCAGAGATGGTCTGGAGGAGGGGATGGGGTCAAGTGGGCAGGTTGTTGGGTGGCCAGACATCTAGGCAGCTTCTTGTCATTGTTGCTAGCTACCTGGCCGTTCAGAATCATAACACACACCTTCCGGCCACATCGATGTGCGCGCATCATTTCCGTGACGCTGTCTGCCAACCCGTCTATAGGAGCAGAGGGATATACTACAAAGCAGGATTCATGAGTTAGCCAGCTAACTTTGATAAACAACCAGAAATAACTATTGATTTTCTGGTCCATTAAAGAAAGCAAAGCTTAGATATTTGTTTTTGGTTGTTGAGTCAATTAGACAGTGCCCATTTTATGCTAATCTTTCCAAAAAAATTTAACATTATTTCAGAATATTTCGCTGGCTAAGTCATTGATCTTGCTTTGTAGTATACCCCTCTGGCCTATGAGATAAGCATTGTTCGCAAACTTCAGCAGGAGAAGTACAATATTTGATTAGTCTGCTGCTATAATTTAGGTATTTGTCAATGGTGAGAAAAGAGGTCATAATAAACATTTGCCTATATTGACTTGTACAGACTGGCTGTTGATTGTGTGTTATGTTGGATGTTTGTCCAGGTGATCCAGGCAGGGACTAACTACTACCATGGCAACACCGGCATGCTGTCACCTCTGTCTGTGTTCCTGGTCTTCACTGGCTCCCTGGCTCTTATCTTCACCTCTATACAGGTAACGCAGAGACACACACACACACACACACACTTAGAAAAGGAAAAAGCAGTGTTTCTCTATGTTTATTACTCTTATTAAAAAAAATCTGTACCATTACATCCCCTTTCAATGCCTCTCTTTGCATTCTACCCTGTTTTCTCATTTGACTTGTACCATCTCTTTTCCCTTGTCACTCCTCTGTTCCTCATCATTCTCCTACCTCATTCCCCTCTCATACCTTTCTTCCCTTATCCGCCTCTCATCCCTCCTCCCCTGGCCTTATCCCTCTCTGTAGGAAACTGGAGACTGGAGCTCTGTCTCTACTGTGACCCATGTAGTGGCTGCCTGTCTCAGCTGCCTGCTCCTGAACCAGGTGGTTTGTTACAGGAATAGCAGTACTAAAGACAAGACAGAGTAGTGGTCAAGCACAACTCAATCCAAGGACCCACTGTTATAGTAAATGGGATACATTTATATATGTTATTTCAATCATTCCATTGTGCGTGTGCATGTGTAGTATGGCAAGGTTTGTTAAGTTTCAGGTCACATAATAAAATGTAATACTCTATAAACTATATTACTATATAAACGGTATATATATTTGTACTGCCAGTAATTGCCTTGTTGCTCGGAGACCAAAGTGTACTGTGATTCTCATTCATACCTATCTTGCTGCAGAAGGATAATCTTCCAATAAAAAAAGAAAATAACCTAATTATTCCCATTTTCCCTTCTTATTGTCTCTTTTACAGACACATTTTTGCTTCTCCATTGGCCCATATATGGGGATTAAGTTATTGAATTTTGTTATTATTAAAACTGTTGAATAGATTATCATACAGCAGGGTCGTTCCAAAAATAGAATGCCTTTTGAGTCCCTTTGATATTTTAAGTAGAAATTATGCACCAATATTACATTTGAAAACGCCTGTTTTATTAAATGAAGTGCCTTTTAATATGAACCACATAGAAAATTCAATAAATCTGATTTTTAATATGAATAAAGATTTTTCTGACTTCTAGGAAGATTTTATCCTACTCAACCCCAACATTTCTCTAAAATCATTGTAAAGCAGTAGTTATTTTGTTGCTTTGACATTAATGTCTGAAGATTATTATTCATTTAGTGTGATTTGTGATTAATTTATGTCTGTTCCTCATTTTAAGGTCAACCCTGTTAACGTGAACTGAACTCTCGTTTTAATAATGGTGAAACTATTCCTCTTAAAATTGTTCAAAAGAAACATTGGACATATAATAGTGAAATCATAGTGTAAAAGTAGGTGATCTGGTTCTACTCTTTTTGGCCGTGATTTGAGCATAACACGTCAACCCTGTTACTCATAGATGGGCATGAAATGTTTGAACAATTAAAACATTTTGTGAAGCTTGCATTCTATTGCCCCTCCCCTGTTGCACACAACAAGCTTCCATTCCTTCTGTCACACAACAAGCTTCCATTCCTTCTGTCACAAGGGGGATTTATCGCTTAAGATGAAAACATCAACCCTGTTACTTTATCTGGTACTTCATTGGCACTTTACAATAGTCCTTTTTTTACTTAACCTCTTGAGATGGGAAAAACATGTTTTTTTAAACCAAATTACACAGGCCAAAAGGCACTCAATTGGTGCATCCTTAATGAGAAAGGTAGTCTCACTGTGTTGGTGCAGCATGTAATGATCTTATTTGTTTGTCTGGAAGGCTGTGGATTTTTTAATTTTTTCACCTTCTCTTGAAGTTAAACTTCATATCTGTACTGGCTCATATCTGCTTGAGGCCCAATGTGTTCTGTCCTTATCTACCTGTACAAGCTCATGTATCTCCAATCTCCCTTACGCATCGATACGTGTGTGGCAGGGTTTCTATACCTTTGCCCTGCTTTTTGATGTTCAATGTACGGCCAAACCCTTCACAGCTCTGATCTAAGGATCAGTGTGTCCATACCCCTGTGGCCAATACTTGTCCACGTTTTGTTCAGTTAGGGCAGGGATGGGCAACTTTGATGTGGGTGGGGGCCACAAAAAATCTGAACTCATGAGGGGTTACAGTGGATGTGCGTCTGCTACCCACATCCATACACACATGCAGTCAGAGCCAGCCTTATGTGGGCCCTAAGTGACATTTTGTTGCCCCCCCCACCCCACCTCCCCTGCAAGCAAAACATTTCCTACAATTCTACACTATTTGCCATGGGGTGTAGAGAAAATGTTGCCGTTTTAAAGCAAGTTTGCTGCAATTCTACACATTTTGCCATGGGGTGGAGAGAAATGTTTGGAGTTTTTAATATGACATCTAGTGCTGAGTGTTTAGTGCTTTTTGAGGTCGGTTCGATTAGAAAAAAATATCACGGTTTTGATAATTTTTTAGATTAAATGCTCTATGCATTATGTGGGTGTCGAAGAGCATAGGCCCACCCACTTAGGAGCCAGGCCCACCCACTGGGTAACCAGGCCCAGCCAATCAGAATGAGTTTTTCCCCACAAAAGGACTTTATTACAGACAGAAATACTCCTCAGCACCCACCCTCCCCCTTCCCGCAGGTGAAGAAGCCGGATGTGGAGGTCATGGGCTGGCGTGGTTACACGTGGTCTGCGGTTGTGAGGCCGGTTGGACGTACTGCCAAATTCTCTAAAACGACGTTGGAGGTGGCTTATGGTAGAGAAATTAACATTCAATTCTCTGGAAACAGCTCTGGTCATTCCTGGAGTCAGCATGCCAATTGCACACTCCCTCAAAACTTGTGACATCTGTGGCATTGTGTTGTGTGACAAAACTGCACATTTTAGAATGGCCTTTTATTGTCTCCAGCACAAGGTGCACATGTGTAATGATCAGTGGCGACCTGTTTTGAGCCACACCTGTTTAGCAAAACAATAAAAACAATAATAAAAATAATAGGCTGTGTTCTGTCACTAATGGGACACTACGTCACTGCAAAATCTACGGGCAGAGCTCGGACATTCAAGCCCCTTGGGTGATGCCATAGAGTTACATTAGAAGTGCCCATCCAAGAATGCTCAAGGTCATTGGCCACAAATAAAATGATGTCAAATCACGTTACATCTACCTTAGCTTTGATTGGACTGATCATGTCAACATCATACTTTCATCATCATGAATCACGTCGACGATCTACTGGCAAATCCTTTTCAATCCTGGTCATATGAAGAGAAATTATAGACAAAACGTATTGGTGCTCATCGACCATTGGACATAAACATTACACAACATGTTGGAAATTGCAAATTCAACAATGAGTGGTTTGGAAGGAATCAGTGGCTAACTGCAAGCATTGCAAAGCAATCACTAGCCTGCTATTCAGTGGAGTGGGGGTGTGGTCCAAGTCTGGGTTTAAGGGTCTCTTTTCCAAGCTTAAAATGATAAACATTCAACACCATGGGCCAGAAAAGGTTGAATACATTGGCCATGCTGTCAATCCAGCACGACTTCTGCCGTGTTCAAAACAACTGGAAACTCGGAACTGGGAAATCTCAGACTTCAGTGAGTTCAAGACAACTGGGAACTCGCAATTCCAAGTCGGCAACTCTGGCACCTTTCTAGAGCGCCGACCTGAAGATCACTGACGTCATGTTTCAACCTTGTTTTTTTCAGAGTTCCCAGTTGTCTTGAAAGCACCATAAATCCAGAGAATTCCAGACTTTGATGACAAAGTTTGATGACAATTTAGTAAAACCACAAGTCCAAATCCTTATCTCCATCCATGGCTAATTTAGGAAAGGGCCAACTTTAGCTAGCTAGCTACTAGCCACCGGAGGACAACAACACAATGAGATGCAACAATTCAAGTTGTTTCTGTCAATGACTTATGCTTTGAATGCGATTAGATAGGAGTGACACCAAAATCCAAGCTGGCTTCCCTTGACACTTGTTTTTGGTGCGCCAGGACCATTCACATTTGAGCTCGTTCAGTTTAGCTCAACACTGATTGGCTAATTTTTATACTTTTTTTATCAAGGGAGGCCAAATGCTTGCTGGCTTCCCTTTCATTCCATTCAATGCTGAGGGCAGCAACAATGTCATACTCGTTTGGACCAGACAGCATCAGACAGATGGCCTACACCTAGAGAGACAGAGGATGCTGTTTCACTCGCTCGGATGCTTTCTCCGGTGAGATACATTCAGCCTATTGCAAATTGAAGGAAAAATATGAAACACAGAGAGACTAAATATATATATATTTTTTGGGTCCATTTTTGGGGAAGCCTGGTTCCCTTGGCACCCATGAATACACGGGACTAACCTGTACCCACGCACATTGACTTGGTACTGGTACCCACTGTATATAGCCTCGTTCTTGTTACTTTATTGTGTCACTTTATTTTAACTTTAGTTTATTTAATTGTAATTTTTTGCTAATATTTTCTTACTTAAAAAAAAAATCTGCAATGTTGGTTAAGGGTTTTTAAGTAAGCATTTCACAGTAAGGTCTACACCTGTTGTATTCGGCGCATGTGACAAATAACATTTGATTTGATTTTGATTTTGATTTTGATCATGTATTTTCAGGTAGAGATAGGCTACCTCGCGAAGCAACTGCTCTCTATTTCCCCTCACAATGTTACATTCTTCTGTCTCTTCCATAAAAGGAGTAAAAGAAACAGACCAGACACAGTAGATGCGCAATGGATTATGGTCATTGTAGTTAATTACCATGTTTTATGCGCTAAACTATGTAGAATATTGGCCAGTTGGAAACTACAACTCCCTACTACATCGCACAGTTCAGGCTGGATCTGATTTATCTGTAGAGAAACTGTGCAATGTAATAATTGAACCGACATCGGTCAATTTTAGTTATTTAATCGCTCAGCACTAATGATATCTGAGTGAGAGTGTCTAACAAAATCAAATGTGGGCCCCTGGTCGGTAATACGACCATGATTACACGTTTAGATAGCTGGCCACTAAACTAATGTACCAATCTAAAAAAAATTTAACTGACATGGGCTAATTGCGTGACTGTCAGCTGACATAACAAGACAAAAACGTCTGATGCGCAACCAAATTTAGAAATTGTCCCTTGTGTATTGCTCTTCAGCCTGTTCCACAAAGCCTTGAAGATGAGTTCCACATTTGATTGTTTTTGTTTTTTTTGGAGGGGGGGGGGCAAATAATCCACGGCCCACAAAAGGGGGGCGGCCACCAGTTGCCCATCCCCAAATTTACCAAAATAACTATTAGAATACAATTTTATTTTCAGGATTGTAAAAGAGTGGAAGCTTTTAGTAAATCCCTTGCAACCGGACGCTTCCCTTGCAACCGGACGCGGGGGTGGGGTAACAGTTGTGTAAGCAAACTTTTTGTGACATTTGTCATCTGCTACCAATGAACGGTGTTAAAGGGACTCGACTCAATTTAGGCTAGTGATTTCCAGCTCAGCGATTCTCAAAGGGACCCGTTTCGTCCAGTGCATCAGACCGCTACACACCACGCTCATTGCCAACATGCCTATCAAGGTAATAAATGCAGTCAGCAAAATGTTCGATCTAAAAATAACGATCCTTGTTGACCTTGACTGTAGACAATTTTGAGGTTTGTAAAATGTGACTATTCTATTTATTCTCGAGTCCATGACGCATACAGCCGCCATTCTCGAGTCCATGATGTATACAGGCATTTGTCCTGATGGGGCTAAAAACATGAATATGGTCAGTCTGCTTTTTATAGTAGGTAAGATTAGATAACCGGATTGGGAAGGTTTGACCACCTCATTTGTAGGGAATCAGATCTGATGCATAAAGGAAGTATACATAAAGGATTTACGACATGAAATCCGTTTTCTATCAAATACATATTATTATACAGTTAACGCCTTCGACCCCTATCCATAGATGTTTCCTACATTCCCATTTGTATTTATTTATTTATTGTTTGTTGCTGTAGATCGATAGCCTCGGAAGAAACATCCTAATCTACTGGATTCACCTGGTCAGTCAATGTAATGGAAAGCACAGGTGTTCCTAATGTTTTGTACATTCAGTGTATGTTTTTCTTGTTTCTTTGTACATAGACTTCCTGTATGCATACTGGTGTTTTGTGCAATACATCTTTTTCAAAAACCCATCCTGATCTCACGAGCTTACATTGTATTTCCCTACACGGATAGCGAAAAATAATGTAAGCTCGCGAGATCAGGATGGGTTTTGGGAAAATAAATATTGCACAAAACACCAGTATGCATACAGGAATTCTACGAACAAGGAAAAACATACATTGTATACAAAACATTTGGAACACATGCGCTTTCCATTACTTAGACTGACCAGGTGAATCCAGTAGAATGCCATGATCCCTTATTGATGTCACCTGTTAAATCCACTTCAATCAGTGCAGATGAAGGGGGGGGAGACAGGTTAAAGAAGGATTTTTAAGCCTTGAGACAATTTAAGACATGAATGGGCCGGTTTGAGTGTGTCAAGAACTGCAATGCTGCTGGGTTTTTCACGCTCAACAGTTTCCTATGTGTATCAAGAATGGTCCACCACCCAAATGACATCCAGCCAACTTGACACAACTGTGGGAAGTATTGGAGTCAACATGGGCCAGCATCCCTGTGAACACCCCCGATGAGTTGAGGCTGCTCTGAGGGCAAAAGGGGGTGCAACTCAATATTAGGAAGGTGTTCCTAATATTTTGTACAGTCAGATTATACAAAGACCTTAAAAGACACACGTATTGACTGTTTTTACAGCTTTTCCTTTTTGACGAATGTAGAATGATCTTAAAGTACTGCTCGAACTCTTTATAGAAAACAAGGAAGTGTTTTTTCTATTAGTGAATTGACATTTATGAACATTATATTTTACCATTAACACACTTTTTAATTTGCGGTAAAATAGTTTTTTTAATCCTTATTATAGTTAAGGAAACCGAGCAGCACATTTTCTCCCATAATAAACAAAAGTCATCAAGAATATTATCATATCATTATCTACAAATATCTTGCCATAATCTCTTTACATAAATACATGCAAAACTGTTTCTGGATGCTCAACACAAAAAGTACAGTTAATGTTTTTTGTGCGTTTCTTCAGGTAATGATTCATAGGGTAATAGTTATGGATAATTCTGAAAGAGACCTCCTTGACTTTGTTAACAAGTGGCTATTTGTGTGGTAATAACCGAACATTTCCCCAACTGATATTGACAAATGTATTAAGAGCATCTGCTAAATGACTAAAAATGTAACAAAAAATAAATAAATACAACATCCCTTTTGAAATAAAGCACGTATCGATCTATTATTGTTCTGAGGGAGCAAGCAGAAACACATTTTTCCTACTGGAGCGTGAATTGGACAAAGCGATTTGTATCTTAAGAAGGTGAGGTCTGGTTACACCTCTGCGATTAGGATGGTTCGTATGAGGCTAGTCAGTGGACGCACCAACACTGTGCATGACTAAACCAGCTGCTGTCAGTGAATGCCCCTGAATGGACTCTGCTCTAACATTAAGCAAAGTCTTGATGCTCCAATAGTAACTTTCCAAGGCCGTTATTGTGGCAAACTGTCTCTAACCACTGCCTGGGTCCAATACATTATTCATCAAATGCTGCTGTACACGAGTACACAATTAGTCAAGCTCATAATTATGTATCTCTAACTGAATAGGGGTTGCAATTTATGTTTAACAATACCATGGTTTGCTTTCAAATGATTTTCAGCTATCATGTTATTCCATAGCATTTGATTGACCTTCAACAGTGTTTGATTGAACTATTGTCTCCCCTCTACACACACACACTAGGTTGGGGAAAAGCTTCCTGCTGTGGAGGTTCATGAGAATGAGCCAGGCAATAAGGTGTCTATGGACCAGCTCTTCAAGGGGAAGAAGGGAGTTCTCTTTGCTGTGCCAGGGGCCTTCACTCCTGGGTGTTCCAAGGTAATGTCCATTTAGAATCTAACTCTAAATCAGAATTTTAGAGTACTGCAAGAACACCCAGGAGTGTCCCAACTAGGCACCACACTGAGCTACTTAGCTAATTAATCAGGTCAGTGATTGGCTAAATTCAACACACCTGGCACTCCAGGACCAGGGTTGTCTACTCCTGATTTAGATCAACCTAGTTTCAATGAATGGACCTGGATGTGCGTTTCTCTTTATCACTCTTTGTTCACCATGGCTGTGTTTAGACAGGCAGCCGAATTCTGATCTTTTTTTCACTAATTGGTCTTTTGACCAATTAGATCAGCTCTTGATGTGAAAAGATCTGATGTTATTTGGTCAAAAGACCAATTAGTGGAGAAAATATCAGAATTGGACTGCCTATCTAAACGCAGCCCATGTACGTCCCTTATGCACCATCTGAAATCACTGTTTCACCCCCCCCCCCCCCCCCCCCCCCCCCCCCCCCCCCCCCGTCCTCTCTTGCTCCTGTATCCCTCAGACTCACCTTCCAGGGTTTGTGGAGCAGGCAGCAGAGCTGAAGAGCAAGGGTGTGCAGGAGGTCGCCTGCGTCTCCATTAACGACGCATTCGTTATGGCTGCCTGGGGAAAGGAACATGGAGCAGAAGGCAAGGTGCAGAATGCTGTTTGAAAATGACAAGCTGATACCTTGACCTTCAGCCTTCTGAATAGTAATTTAAATGTAGTCTACGCAGTGTATTCCTCAGGCTATGGCTGAAAATCTCTGTTCTGTTATGATGATGTCCAGCATTTTACTTGGTACAGGAAAACCTTTTCAGGTATCTGTCCTGAGAAATAATCTGCATCAATCTGCAGTTGCTACACATTTTTTGACTTTTAAATTAACAATATCTATTGATTCTTGAAGAATATAATTGACAAATGCCTCATGAGCTTAGTTCAACTGTTGTATCCTATCAGAACCCCAAATATAAGCCTGTTTTACTCGATTTTTTTGTAAACAATGTAATGGTGAACAAACACTGTATAGGCTGAAAACATGTTTATAACTATAATTTTGATCTCATAGATGGTCAGTCCTTGCATCCATAGCTTTGTCTATGAATTTGAGTGGTAACATTTCCCAAGCCCAATTCCTCAGCTGTTTACCAAAAAACTGTGGCGGCCGGTGTGACTGCTTTGTTGTTGTTTGAACTGCAGATTGCCCCGTTAAGTCATTGGACATATCTTATCTCCCAAACAGAAACATGTATTACATCAAGACCATAACTCGTTGAATTATATTGTAAGATCCTTCAGACAGTGTGGCTCTTCAGTCTAGACCGGTCTGACCAAATGATTTATATATCTCTATATCTATATCATTGGTCTGACCTAGGGCTGTTGCAGTGATCAAATTCCATGTGACCGTTTAGTCATGGTAATTCGGCTTCTCCAAGCTCTGATGCTGCTGATGGTCATTAGTAGCCGACTAAACTTGCTAACTGCCTGGTACTCCACACTCTATTGTCCCTCTAATCACTCTGACATCAATGCAAATGTAATCGAAAATCTAATCAAACACTTCATGAGAGCCCATGAGCTCATGTTGCGCAACATTTCTATAGGCTATGTAATTGCGCGAGAAAACAGAGTGATGGCCTCTTAAAAAGAGGATCCCATCAGCTTTCTATAGGCTAGGCCTACTATATTTATTTTATAAACTTTCCTAATATTAAGCACATGGCTTATCTTTACAACAGGAGTATAGCCTACCTGGCTGGCATGAAAACAAACCACGGGAAAAGCGTCCTCCATTCGCTATTTAAGTGCATAGATGTTTCGAGACAGGTGCATGATAATGGTCCATTCTAAATCAAAACAAATTTCACACATATATTATTTAGTATATGTAAAGACGAGATTAAATCAAGAATAATCTGATGGGTGACACTATTAGCCTATCACTTGTGAATTATATATTATCACTTGTGAATGATGCCCAGCATAAGGAAAGAGACAATGCCTTTTTTTTGCGACTTTTTCTAATCATAGTCGCACACCTCATGTAGCCTAGCCCATAGGCCTATATGTTTTGATAAGGTTTGTATCACAACTAAAGTGGCCAAATAACTTCTTAAAATTAAGCACATTCATTTGCTTTACAAGGGGTGTAGAGCCTAACTGGCATACATAAGCAGCGTGTGAGTTTCAAGTTTGGGGAAGATAATTTTCACCATAAAAATGCACCTTTATAATAAAAGCATTACATGCATAATCGCATTTGCAGTCACTTTTGATAATGGTGTTTTCCCACTAATGGAACATTCATGCTTATAGCCTACTACCATGTGCGCATTGCTGCGCTTATAATGTGAAGAAATAGCCTAATAGTTTATCAACATTTAAAGCTAAACATTCTGATCTGTTGCATCAGCCACATTGCGTAGAAACGTTTTTGGGATGCTAGTAGTTGTATTAATTTGGGATCTATTGCATCCCACAACTGTCCCAGACTATGTTTGGAATATTTATTTCTCGCACAGAATAGGTCAACTTTTGTACTATGGGGGATAGTATATTGACATAGGCTAGTGCTTTTGCTGTTCGTTAGGCCTACTCATCTTGTTGGCTGACAAAAAGTAAATGTGGACAGTGGACTTCCAATATCTTCAATATGCACCTCGGAATTGGATAGGATGCGCGCAGTTGCGTCCCCGATGTGTCTGTCTTCACTTGTAGCCTGTGAGAAATACCCGATCACGTGATAGAGAGCCATGTGAGTGAGAGGTGCTTCGGAGTGCGCAGCACTCAGGGAGAAGGGCACAACGCAGCACTCTGGGCCAAGGGCACAACGGCCACTAGCCGCAAAAATATTTTTTTAGGGTGCATTACGGCCACACAAAGGGGACGCCGCTGTGAAATTCAAGGCATTATCAAGTGCTTGTCAAATTGTGAATGAGAGACTGATAATGTGTGTACAGCCTGCGTAAAAAAACAAAGTAGCGCTCATGCCTTTCAAGCAACTTTTTTTCAAATCATCATTAGTCACATCATGCAGCCTTTACAATGTATAAAAAATCTAAACAAATAGCCCAATGTTTGTAGAACAACTAAAGTTACATTAATAACTCTAAATTAAGCATATAGGACTACCTATTTCTTTGTTAACCGCTCAACACAGAATAGCCGCATGTGTGTACTTCCTCAAATCGTTTGGAGAAAATATCCTTTCTATTTTATTCAGCTTTGTTCAATTGTATTCTTCATACTATAAAATAATATAAAATAATGCCACGGAATTCTAAGCAAATCTTGTCTGCTAAATGAACTAGTGTAGCCCACAGCCATTTGGCATAGCCAGATCAGGACCTAACATAAGGACAACTCAGAGTATGCTATTCTGTTCTTCTGAAATAGACTACATTTTCTTCATATCATGCTTATTTAGACCTGTCTAAAATAAATAATGGATTTATTGTGAAGATGTAGGCTATATTACATGGATTTATTATACTTTTTAAAATGTAGATGTTCCTATGGTCTGCATAAGTGGCTTGTAGGAAGCCAGGAGATGCTAAATGTGTTTATGTTAATTAACGTCAATTACGGTGAGACCGACAGTTATTTGCTTGACAATTACGAATGTTCGTGACTGCCATAGCTCTAGTCTGACCTGACATGGTTGTGGCTTTGAGTGTTATCCTCGTCATTTACAGGACCTGTTCTTGAACATGTTGCATCTCATGAGTGTTAGGCCGGGATTCGTCCGATTGTGTTTGTAGACAATTAGTCTTTTAAAGGCAGTTTTACCACATTCGCGGAGATCGCATTCAAGGGAAACGCTGCAGAGGTCAGCTCAAATGGAAATTACGTTTAAATGTCAAGTTTGCGGTTTCGGATTGAATGTAATCGCAGCCCCTATCTGCGCAGGAGTTTAAATAAGACATCTCAAATCAAATCGGATTTGTCACTTGCGCCGAATACAACAGGTGTAGACCTTACAGTGAAATGCTTACTTACAAGCCCTTAACCAACAATGCATGTCAAGAAAGAGTTAAGAAAATATTTACTAAATAAAATAAAAAGTAACAATAAAATGACATAACAATAATGAGGCTATATACAGGGTGTACCGGTAGCGAGTCAATGTGCGGGGGTACAGGTTAGTTACATACACATCTCTTATGTGTATGAAAGTAATATACCTTTTTTAGTTTAATCAAACGTGTGCTAGTGTACACAGAATTTATACATGCATGTTAATGTCTACTGCCTCTCTTTTGCAGGTGCGAATGCTGGCTGATCCTACTGGAGAATTCACTAAGGTCATATGTCTTCAAAGCCTTGATTTTTATTTAAAGGACCAGTGCAGTCAAAAACATGATTTTCCTGTGTTTTATATATATTTCCACACTGAGGTTGGAATAATACTATGAAATTGTGAAAATTATGATAATGCCCTTTGTTGAATTTCTTCAGGTAATGATTCGCAGGGTAAAAGACCACTTGAAACTTCAGCTTTTTTTGGTGGGATGGAATTTTGGCCTGCTGGGTGACACCACCAGGCTGTAAATTAGTTAATAGACCAATAAGAAAGAGTTCTAAACCTCTATGCCAATAACGGCTAGTTTTCAGTTTTCCCCTCCCCACTCATACCACTCTGACAGTCCTAGCAAAGATCTTGCTTGAGAAATTGCTCTTTGCTAAGCTTTTTTGTTGTTGACCATTTTAATTTACTATAAAATAATCACAGTAAGGTACTTAAGTGTTACCCAGAAATGATTTATATTGATAAAAACTGCTGCATTGGACCTTTTAATAGTTTACTCTTGTGTGAATGTGACACCAATTTTATTTTCTTTACAGGCAGTGGACCTGTTGCTAGACAATGATCAGATTGTGGCTGTGCTTGGAAACAAGCGCTCCCAGAGGTGAGGTCTTCTACTATATCAGTGTTGAACTTGCTGCAATACACTGTAGAGTGGGTAACACTCACTTATCTCAACATTTGGATTTTACTTTGCAAAAAGCATCAACCCCAATAAAGCCATTGTCACATTTCTTCTCTCAGATACGCTATGGTGGTGGAGGATGGAGTTGTGAAGAAGATCAACGTGGAGCCTGACGGCACCGGCCTCAGCTGCAGCCTGGCTTCCAACATGCTCTCTGAGCTGGTGTAGGCCTGTTGGGACCAGCGCACTCCAACCGCAGACGTCGAACTCTATTTACTACTCACTGTCATTCTGGTTTACCTGACCCTTCTTTTCACGTCTTTGCAACCATGATCTTAGGCAGCGGAATGAAATAGATGTGGTTTAACGTACAGCCATTGTATGCTTCATAAGCTGCAGTACAAAACTGTGGGAAAAAAATATATAATGTGCTCAACATGTTAAGACTGCAAAGAAGTGTGCTAGTTTTTTTCCACCGGGCTTGGGGACTGTCTGGATGATGGCAGGGCAGTCCCACTTGATATCATTACTGGCTGCTCAGGGAGATTTGGTCTCAAATCAACTGTCATCATCCCAGAGGCAAGAGAGAAATAGAATTCAAACGCACAATTAAGCTGAATGGCACTTAAATCCTATCCTTTCTGTATACTTTCAAATCTGTTACCTAATAAAGTTTCCTGTGATAGCAATAACCCCATGTCTGTGAATCGTTTACGTTATTTGATCCTGATATTATATTCTTTTGAATGTTATGTTTTAAGTAAAAGGCATGGTAGTTCATTTGAATCCTTGTAAGTTTATCAAAAGGTTTGCGCAATCAACAATGTAACCAGTGGCGTAAAGTACTAAAGTTTTTTTTTATTGGTATCTGTACTGTACTTTACTATTTATATTTTGGACAACTTTTAATTTTACTTTACTACATAGTTTGCCTGACACCCAAAAGTACTTGTTACATTTTGAATGCTTAGCACAGGGGTGTCAAACGTCCGGCCCGCGGGCCGGATCAGGCCCGCAAACGGGTTTTTTGTTTGTTGTTGTTGTAAAGTATAAAAATGCGCTGCAATTTTTCAATAAAATAAACTGCTGTTCCAATTGCGTCCACTGGATGGCGCAAGCAATTGTGTTAAGCAAGCAAACTGTTTATACCGGGGCAGAGCAAGTAGGTCAAGCACGTGCAGCCAATGAGCTACTTTGTTTTGCCCGCGATATTTATTACGGCTTCTACTTTTAACATTATGTGCTTTGGCACCCTCATTGCCCCAATATGTCTCTGTCAAAAAAGAGAAAAGTGGACGCAGAGTGTTCCAAGAAAAATGGTCATCCTATTTATTCACGGAATTGAATGGGAAAGCTGTATGTTTGGTGTGTTCAGAGCATGTTGCAGTGCTGAAAGAATATAACCTTCGTCGCCACTATGTGAGTCTTCATGCCGACAAATATGACAACTTTCAAGGACAGCGGAGATGAGAGAAGGTGAATGAACTGTTGGCGGGTCTGAAGAAACAGCAGTCTGTGTTTACTCACAGCCGAGACATCAGTGACGCTGCAGTGAAAGCTAGCTACCTCATTGCTAATGAAATCGCAGTGGCTTCAAAACCATTTAGTGAGGGTGAATTTGTAAAAACATGCATGATGAAGGCAGCGGAGATTGTGTGCCCTGAAAAGCGGCAGGCTTTTGCAAATATCAGCCTGACAAGAAACACAGTTGCAGACAGGATTTCCGATCTTTCAGTGGATTTGGACAGCCAGTTGAAGCAAAAAGTAAAGTCATTTATTGCGTTTTCGGTTGCAATTGATGAAAGCACGGACATTACAGATGTTGCACAACTGGCCATTTTCATCCGCGGAGTTGATGACACATTGACCGTCACCGAGGAGTTCGTGGAGTTGGTGCCGTTGACAGATACAACGACAGCAGCTGATATTTTTACCGCACTCGTCGGCGCGCTGGACAGGGTCGGAGTGGACTGGTCCCGCGCTGTCAGCCTGGCTACAGATGGTGCGCCCTCAATGATCGGGAAAAAAGCAGGCGTTGTGACAAAGTTCAGAGAGAAAGTGCAATCTGCAAATGGAGGACGTGATTTTTTGACTTTTCACTGTATTTTGCACCAGGAGGCTTTGTGTTGCAAGTCATTAAAGATGGATAACGTCATGAAGGTGGTCATCCAAACTGTTAATTTCATCCGATCCAGAAGCCTGAATCACCGTCAGTTTGACAGCCTTCTCAGAGAGAAAGACCACATCTATGGCCTGCCATACCACACTGAGGTAAGATGGTTAAGCCGAGGTGCTGTGCTGAGGCGTTTCTTTGATTTACGAGAAGAAATTGAACAGTTCATGGAAGAAAAGGGCAAACCAGTGTTAGAATTTCATTCCGCAGAATGGATGCAGGACCTTGCATTTATGGTGGATGTTACAGAGCACCTGAATAACTTGAACAAACATCTGCAAGGGCGCAACAAAGTTGTCACGCAGTATTATGACAGCATACGTTCTTTCAAGTTGAAGCTGTCATTGTGGGAGACGCAACTTGCCGGTGGTGATGCAGCTCACTTCCCCTGTCTGAAAAATGTGTGCGCGACCCAACATGTGGCAGACATGAAGCGGTTCAAAGATAAAATAACGGGACTGTTACGGGAGTTTGAGCAACGCTTTCAGATTTATGTTTATATGTTTTTATGTTGATGTGCTATTGTTTTTAATTGATTTTATTTGTATATTTAACCTATTCTTGACTATGTGGTTCTTGCACTTGTTTGGGGAACAGGATTTCATTATTTTTATCTACATTTCTGCCTGAGAAATGACACCCTGATATACTTCTGTGAATCACTGAGGCATTGTGTGTTTGTGTGTTCTTTGTCCTCAGAACTTTCAAATAACTTGAGGTGTTTTATGATTAATAGTGATGTTGTGCTTTTGGACACTGTCCTCAGGCTCCAGCTTTATGTTTATATGTTTTTATGTTGATGTGCTATTGTTTTTAATTGTTTTTATTTTATTTGTATATTTAACCTATTCTTGACTCTGTGGTTCTTGCACTTGTTTGGGGAACAGGATTTCATTATTTTTATCTACATTTCTGCCTGAGAAATGACACCCTGATATAGTTCTGTGATCTGTGATATACTTCTGTGAATCACTGAGGCATTGTGTGTTTGTGTGTTCTTTTTCTTTAGAATTTTCAAATAAACTTGACGTGTTTTATGATTAATAGTGATGTTGTGCTTGTACTATTTTGGACACACTGTCCTCAGGCTCCAGCTTTATGTTGTATGTTGATCGTATTAAAACAAAGAAAACAATCTGAAGTTGTTGTTTTTAAGTTATATATACCATGATTTTTCCGGTCCGGCCCACTTGGGAATAGATTTTCCTCCATGTGGCCCCTGAGCTAAAATGAGTTTGACACCCCTGGCTTAGCAGGACAGAAAATTGTCAAATTCGCACACTTCAAGAGAACATCCCTGGTCATCCCTACTGCCTCTGATCTGGCGGACTCACTAAACACATGCTTCATTTCCCAGACGAATTGAGGCTGTTCTGAGGGCAAAAGGGGGAGCGCAACTCAATGTTCGAAAGGTGTTCCTAATGTTTGGTATACTCAGTGTAATGAAATGACTACAAGCAGATTTGAATACGTTAAATCACTTTTAATTATAAGTACACAAATAATGAAGTATATCCCGGTGTTATCTTGTAATCCAGGAGGGAAACTGCATAAGAATGAACGGAAATAAGACCAATGACAATAATTAAAAAGCTTCACAACCATTCCTGTTCACTTTATGAAAGCGACATCTGGGATCTTTCCATGAGCCTGAGGAGAAACAGAGCAGAAGTTTTGTTTTTAGTATCGGAAGCCTAGAAGGGTACATAACATCTGAGGTAAAACACACAGACATTCAGTCAAACTAAAGCAACACACATTGCTCCCTTAGATACTTTACTAGGATTAAGATTTGGATCTAGGAATGTTTACGGTCTCATTTACAGAGTAATATGAGGGGACCATTTATTTACCTTGAGGTCTGTGAAGACCTGCCCTGCTCGGTTGAAATCCCATTCATTGTCCTGTAGGCACCTGAGATGCATTGATCAAGTAGGTTAGAACCAACAAATGAACGCAATATTGCTATATTCCACCCACAAAACCCTGTACAAAAAAAACGAAGCGGGGCGACAACAGGGGCCAGCGTTTGTCACTACTTGAGCCAACTTAAAATCTAATGCAAAGTAACTGTTTCCCACTTACTTCTGGGACCATTCAAGGTTCATGCCGGACTTGAGGGAGAAGGCAGAGAGCATCTCTTGCTGGGGGGCTGAGAGGGTGGGGACGGGGCTGCTGGATGGGGTGGGGGCGGGCGCAACAAAGGCCCGGCGGATCTCCTCAGTCGTGGCATTGCGCACAAACAGCTCGTCGTTCACTATGCAAAGACTGTCGAAACATGAGGAATACAAGATGAGGAAATTATTTTCCCATTAGTATCAACATTTTTGTTGCGATCAAGACATCCAAGTACATATCCAGCTGAGTTTTGTCTATATATAAAGGCTAGCTCTAGGGCCTACCTTGTCCCTCCAGCTGGCACTGTGACAAACACCCGACAGAAAGCTCTCACAGAGTCGCGGGATTTACCTTCAACTGTCGTGACAGAAGGAGAAAGAAACATACATGGTTCATGACTTTTTGGGGAATGAAAATGTGGGAAAAAATACAACAAAAATAGGGAAACAATATATGTTAGCCAAGTCAGAAAAGTTGAACAAACATACCTTCTTTGAACACTCCAGTGACCGTGAACGACAGTAACGTGTTCTACAGGAGTAGGAGAGAGACAGGAGATTGAAGCTATGAGATCAATGATGGTCATGGCCTTTGAATATGAGTTGATGGTTATAAGAGTATTCTACTCACGGTGAAGGTGTTGACGTCCACAATTAGAGATGCAGTGTCATGTTGCGTTTTGGGCAGTTCGCTCAGGAAAGCCACCACATTCAGACGGGTGTGCTTCAGCAAGCGGAACCGTGTGGCTGAAAGAGTAAAGGTATTAAACTCATTTTACTTCTTGTGTACATGAGTGAACACAATCATGGTGACGTTCACTACCAACAGGTTTCCTTTATTCAAATCAAATAGTCCTGGTAGCCATTTGATTAGCTGTTCAGGAGTCGTATGGCTTGGGGGTAGAAGCTGTTAAGAAGCCTTTTGAACCTAGACTTGGTGCTCCGGTACCGCTTGCCGTGCGGTAGCAGAGAGAACAGTCTATGACGAGGGTGGCTGGAGTCTTTGACAATATTTAGGGCCTTCCTCTGACACCGCCTGGTAAGAGTTCCTGAATGTCAGGAAGCTTGGCCCCAGTGACGTACTGGGCCGTACGCACTACCCTCTGTAGTGCCTTGCGGTCGGAGGCCAAGCAGTTGCCATACGAGGCAGTGATGCAACCAGTCAGGATGCTCTCGATGGTGCAGCTGTAGAACTTTTTGAGGATCTGAGGACCCATGCCAAATCTTTTCAGTCTCCTGAGGGGGAATAGGCTTTGTCATGCCCTCTTCATGACTGTCTTGGTGTGTTTTGACCATGATAGTTTGTTGGTGATGTGGACACCAAGGAACTTAAAGCTCTCAACCTGCTCCACTACAGCCCCGTCGATGAGAATGGGGGTGTGCTTGGTCCTCTTTTTCCTGTAGTCCACAATCATCTCCTTTGTCTTGATCATGTTGAGGGAGAGGTTGTTACCCTGGCACCACACGGCAGGTCTCTGACCTCCTCCCTATAGGCTGTCTCATCGTTGTCGTTGTTGTGTCGTCTGCAAACTTAATGATGGTGTTGGAGTCGTGCCTGGCCATGCAGTCATGGGTGAACAGGGAGTACAGGAAGGGGCTGAGCACGCACCCCTGAGGGGCCCCCGTGTTGATGATCAGCGTGGCAGATGTGTTGTTACCTACCCTTACCCTTATTCAGACACTACATTTGTAAGAGATGACATCAACCATCACTTCTGAAAACTCAAGTAGCAAATCAGAAGTGGGAGACTCACTGGGATCTTTGAGCTTTTTCAGGTTGCGACTGTCTTTATGGTAATCTCCAAGACTGCACCTAGAGACAAAGGGAGACAGTGACTGACTGACTACCTTAGAAACAGGTGACAAATAGGTGATACTGAATTACTGTTTATTTTACGCCGTTTATGCATGCTGCTGGAGACAGGTAACATTAATAACTAGCCGAGGGGTACCTGGAGGGGTTCTGCATGGTGAAGGGCATGCTCAAGGAGAAGGTTGCTCCATCATGGTAGGCATCTAATAAAGGCTGCCTGTCTCCGGAGTCATACACACTGTAGTATCTGGGGGAAAGTTATTCTTTAAAAACGTACATCAAAAGAAACATACAACAACTTACATTTCATATCAGTACAGATAGATTCTACCTAAGCAGATACATTTGTGTCGTATAAAATAACATTTAAAATATAATGACATCAAATCATGCTGCTTTTTGTTTTAAACAAAAATAAAGGTGTGTTGGTGTGCATCAGAGCGTTTTGGGCTCCGGCTTAGTTGAGATTTGCTCTGCATACATGCGGTAAAGAGGCCAATGGAACGCAGACCGCGGAGGACAGAAGGACGCCAGATTGGAGCACATTCAACACATCTGTTCTAACAAAGTGGATATTGGTCAAATCCCTCATGATTGATGCATTGTAACAGGCCCACAATGGTGGAAAAAGTACCCAATTGTCATACTTGAGTAAAAGTATAGATACCTTAATAGAAATATACTCAAGTAAAAGTGAAAGTCACCCAGTAAAATACTACTTGAGTAAAAGTCTAAAAGTATTTGGTTCTAAATATACTTAAGTATCAAAAGTATAAATCATTTCAAATTCCTTTTATTAAGCAAAGCAGACGGCACCATTTTCTTGTTTTACAAATTTACAGATAGCCAGGGGAACACTGCAACACTCATAATTTACAAACGATGCATTTGTGTTTAGTAAGTCTGCCAGATCAGAGGCAGTAGGGATGACCACGTGTTCTCTTGATAAGTGTGTGAATTGGACAATTTTCCTGTCCTGCTAAGCATTCAACATGTAATGAGTACTTTTGGGTGTCAGGGAAAATGTATGGAGTAAAAAGTACATTATTTTCTTTAGGAAGTAAAAGTAAAAGTAGTCAAAAATATAAATGGTAAAGTAAAGTACAGATACCCCAAAAAACTACTTAAGTAGTACTTTAAACTATTTGTATTTAAGTACTTGACACCACTGGCCACAATGTGGTTACTAAAGTACGATTTTGATATATTTGGCTGCAGTTTTCGCTGCATAGCATTTAGATGTCCCTTTTCAGGTTTAGAAGTGACTGCTAAATGCTAACTTCCGTTCGTATGATCTTGTAGTATAGCTAGCATACAGAAATCGCTGGTGATGGTCAAAGTAATTTTTAACTGTAATGCAGTGAACATGAACATATAGGGGTTGACATCCATACAAGCATTATACTCTGATGTTTACCTCAACGTAGTGTGAAATACACATATAAACAACAGCCTAAATGTAGGATAATTTTGCTGGGGGGCAATGAGGAGATTCGTCATCGTTCCCGCCACACGTTTCCATGACATTTCCATTGTTTTGGTCGAGTTCCATTGACCTCTTTACCGCATCTATAACAGTGTGTAGTGTATTTGTACAGTAATGTGTATGCATTTGTGTCCGTGGATTCAACATAAAAAGAGCTGAGTGCAAACTCACTGTTGTAGGAAGCCAACGATGGGAGTCTTGATCTCTTCAGAGCAGAAGTAGCTGGGCTGTGACAGAAGTCGAAGGGTGAGAATTTCAAATAAAACACTCCTGTTTTGACACACATGGTTATATGCAAAGCCCCTAAATGAGAACCAATGGTGTGTATGTATTACCTTGCATGGTGGAAGGGCGGCAGGAGTCACCTCCACATCAAAGACTATGGGTGGGGGGAGATCCTGACCGTCCTAGTGAAGAGAGTTAGAGAATGTAAATCCTACACAAATACAATAATAATATCCAAAACGAGTTGAACAAACAATTGTTGAAATCCTAAAAGTGTTGGATTGAACCCTTACCAGTTTGAGAAGCCTGGGGAACCTCTCTCTCACCTCGCTGTCCGACATTCACAAAAACACAGAAGAGAAGAGACAGGAGTTAGTGCTGATTATATATAAAGACTCTGGGAGTCATCCCCCTAAACACTATTCAACCACACATGCATATATATGCTCATGCACTCCAGCCTCACCCATGGACAATGACCTCTAATAGCCGCCCAAATGTTGATATAATCCCTGTCCAGACAGTTAACTGAAATGAGGGGAGGAACTTGGCAGAAAATACCAACATGGACTTGATTCGTCATTATAACTGCATATATTTTGGTGGTTCCAACTTTCGAACTGATTGTTCAGGATAGAACACACCCATGCCTGATCATGAAATAGTCAGCTCTGCATATCAGTGAAGACATACTCAATGCTACAATGACACATCCTTATGTACTAATATGAACAGTACAATATAGATAAACCAATGACAAATCAATCTATGACGACAGCCCCTGATTTTTACCCCTTTTTCTCCCCAATTGGTAGTTACAGTCTTGTCCCATCGCTGCAACTCCCGTGCGGACTCGGGAGAGGCTAAGGTCGAGAGCCATGCGTCCTCCAAAACACGACCCAGCCAAGACGCACTGCTTCTTGACACACTGCTCGCTTAACCCGGAAGCCAGCCACACCAATGTGTCAGAGGAAACACCATACAGCTGGCGACCGAAGTCAGCATGCATGCGCCCGGCCGCCACAAGGAGTCGCTAGAGCGCGATGGGACAAGGACATCCTGGCCGGCCAAACCCTCCCCAACCCGGACGACGCTGGGCCAATTGTGCGCCGCCTCATGGGTCTCCCGGTCGCAGCCAGCTGCGACACAGCCCGGGATCGAACCCGGATCTGTAGTGACGCCTCTAGCACTGATCAGTGCCTTAGACCGCTGCGCCACTCGGGAGGCCTCGGCCCCCTTTCCTGTGGCAATGTACTCACCCCTTTGTGATGATACTCACCGTCCCCCCCTACACGCCGAAACACACTGACACACGTTGTCTTGGAAGGGGTGGTAGGGGTGTGAACGTTGGTTGTGAGCGCCCCATATCAACAAGAGACAAATCAGTGCTTTTCACACGCATAGGGGAGTGGCCTGGTGATTGGGAGTGGCCCGTGGTGTGACCAATGTGCTTGGTAGAGACCACAAGGGTGATATTATGGTCAAAAGTTGCATGTTTGAGTTGTCTGACACACGTGTCATTGGACCAAGAGACAGTGAAATGGAATCTAAAGACTGTAGAGGTGGTGATGGCCTCCTGTAGCTCAGTTGGTAGAGCATGGCGCTTGCAACGCCAGGGTTGTGGGTTCGATTCCCATGGGGGGCCAGTATGAAAAATGTATGCACTCACTAACTGTAAGTGGCTCTGGATAAGAGCGTCTGCTAAATGACTAAAATGTAAATGTAAAATGTGATGGAGACTGTTGGAGATGAAAGAATGACATGAATCATGGGTATGCACAGGGGGGTTAATCCATTACATTAAGGCTGGTTAAAGTTACACCATGTGGTTTCAGGTAGAAAGGGAAGAGGGAAGACTTATGGTAACATAGAACACGACATGCAAGCCCGATCAAACCAAAACAGCAAAGAGGAGTTCACAAAAAGCTTTGATAGAAGATGCAATTCCACTAGGTTGATTGTGTGGTATGTTAGCCAGCCTTAAGGAATAGAAAACATGTTAGTTGAGGAGAACATGCAAAGCATCCCCTTCAGATGAAGAAAATACACAAATTACACACAAATAGAAACAAAAAGACAAACAGAAAGAGTGATAGAGAGCTGGGCCCTGAGCGCCACTACAGCAACCTCTGTTGCTAGCATTGATTGATGCAAGAATGATACTGCATATCTTACAAAACATTTTTGGTACCAAAAATAAATAAATGTTGGACCCCACTTCAACTTTAACATTTTGGGGGTGGTTAAACAAATAGGGCATCCAAGCCCTATTAAACAAAGTTTGTATTTTTAGGGAAACATGTTGAGAGGGATATCTGAGGAAAAGACTCCTAGACTTTATCAGTGACCATTCTGAGGTGACTGCACTTTTTATGCCCATAGAATAAACGTTAAATGTCATATCCTTAACCGGAAATCAACTTCATATATTGAAATCCCACAAATTGAGGGTCTCTCGATACATCCATCTTTGTGTCCCTCATTCTCAAAGCCTCTCCTCTCCGGCTGTTACATTCTGACAATGTGTCTACCAACTTGCGACACAAACAAGCCTTGAAGGCATGTTAGATTTAAGGGAATTATGAGAAAGCTTGTATTTGGGGACTCTGCTTGGCTCTTTGGAAACCAACCCCAGGCGCAAATCTTTGTGTTCTTCTTCACTTCAATGTCTTCTTCGTACAGCATATACTGTACGTATGAATGTGCGTACGTACGTAGGTATGATGTGGCCAGATGCACGGCTGTGCCTGTCTTAGGTTGTCCCGGTATCAAAGGTGGGATCTTACCCGTCATTGGCTAACCAGCCCTCTTCACTGGCCACATTTTACGACCCGTATAGGGGAGGATGAGGATGTACCAACACATTTCCCATATGAATCTTAAATATATATATATAATGTATGCCATTTAGCAGACGCTTTTATCCAAAGCGACAGGCATGCGTTCATAAATCATACCTATGGGTGGTCCCGGGAATCGAACCCACTACCCTGGCGTTACAAGCGCCATGCTCTACCAACTGAGCTACAAAAGGATTTATTTTCCACAATGCCATTTTAGTAATCCAAGCTCTTCCCAAAGTATGGGTCTCAATCACAATGCTGTGTTCAGTATTATCCATGCCAAGTTTTATGTATGCTCGAGGTAATGGCTCTTGACATTTAAATGATCAGGATTTTGTTTAAGAAATGAATACAGAGGTGTCTGTAGGGGGCACAGGGTCATCTTCACTGCAGAAAACAAATGGGGGAAAGATCAGCTGCAGAGTTTCAGAGAGGGAAAGAGTGAGATCAGATGAGAGAGAGAGACAAAAAAAAAAGACAGTACACAGACAGACAGTTAAACCTGCATCTAGAAGGGGGCAGGGATGTAGAAATAATTGAAATGATAAACACAGCCATTATCCTCAACTAAAACCATGTGTTTGTTGGCTAGTTAATGTTGAACTATATGGCGTGAAGAGGTTAATGGTTCGATCATGTCAACTTGGGCACATATGGCATGCACCTTAAATTAAAATAATCATAAATGTGGCTTTACATTTGAACTGAGGTGCTTCCCCACAAGCATTGAGTAGGCTATTTGAGCGATTTCAACATAGAACAATACATTCTTGTCTAAGAACCGATCATGTCAAGTCTTAACTTATTCACCACCTATGTTATTGTAGTAATGTGGGAGGGCTCAGTGACTCTCTGATAGCATGGTGATCAACAAGTCAATTCCGGATCCTTCCAAGTTGAGCGTTGTGTTACTATTCAGTAGTACCAGACCAAACATGTCCTTCCCGGCTCATATAATCCATAAATAACGTGATGTCCCACAGAGTAGGAGTTTTCTGAATACATTCAAGTTCCCCCCTGAAATACAGGGAATAGAATGCTAAACTATCCCCCCTCCCATCTATCTCACAATACACCGTCAACAGCCTACCATTACCCACCCAGCCATCCATCTCACGACACACTGTCAACAGCCTACCATTACCCACCCAGCCATCCATCTCACGACACACTGTCAACAGCCTACCATTACCCACCCAGCCATCCATCTCACGACACACTGTCAACAGCCTACCATTACCCACCCAGCCATCCTGAGCACAGACTGACCTGATGTAAGAAGCCTGGTCCTTGAAATAGTCGCAAAGGGGGTTCCTCTCCAGCCATAACTCCACCAGTTTAAGACCCTTGATCCTGTCCAGCTCCCGCTCTGTCTTTAACTGGAATGAAAATCCAATAAAACAGCCAGGTGTTACTCTCAAGATGGGACACAGAGAGAAAACTCCTTGTCCCAGTCAATTGACTAAATTCATTATGTGGATAACTGAAAAGTAAGAGGAGACTGTGCAGTCCCAGTAAAGGTCAGTGCTGGGGTTAGGTCCCATTGTGCCACAACCAGACCCAGTCTCCTCACCTCGTTATGAGAAAGGTTGAGTGTTTTCAGGTTGGGAACCTTGTTGACCAGCTCCGACAGGTCATCCAGCCTAAACAGCTTGTTGTTGCTGAGGTTCAGACAAACAAGCTGTGGAAGCAAATGAGAAGGGATCAGTGGGGAAGAAGGCATCCATATTCTATCATTATTCAGCTACAAGGAAGGACCACATCCATACCTCTGGAATGTTCTCCTCAATGATCTTAATAACAGCACGCATGGAGTTCTTTCTGTTCAAAGTCACATCAATGTTCTGCGATACCAGGTCTGTGAAAATCAGGGAAGCATAGGAGTGTTGGACGGCACTACCAGAATACATGTCATATAATGCAAATACAACATTGAAAAACGTCTGATGTGACTAACTGCTCTTGCCGTGTACCTGGGTCTATCCGGATGTTGTTCAAGTCCAGGGCTTGTTGAGAGACATCAAAACGTTTAGCCATGCATTGCTAATGAGGGAAAAACAGTTTTACGGATTCAGTCCATACACCTCTCTATACATGAAACTAAATAATGAATGTTGCACTATTATCATTAGCGGGTACTTGAAAGAATAGGAGCAATTACTAAGTAGAGTTGAAGGAAATAAAAAGTAATAACCTTGCTGATGGCTCAGATACCAATACAATAATGTTATTAAAACGATCACTCCTCCTCCTATTCGTTAAGAGCCGGTCTCCTTGTCTTACCTTCAGGTGCTCCAGATCAGCTGGCTTTAGTTCAGACTGAAGAAAGGAGGGTGGAGGACAGGGATTCATCAGTACCGTCACCTGGACAAGATGGAGGTTGGAGGAGTGAATGGCATGTTTTCTAATAACTATCCCCAGGGGGAAATGGTTATGTCCTTGAATTCCTATTGAAAGCCCTTTCTGAAGCCCTAATCATTAACCACAGCCTTACCGTGACCCCTTCTCAAGGTCCTATTGACGGTCCGATCCATATTGACTGCCATCATCAAACTATTAACTCTGGCGCCAGCCTTGTTGCTTAATCGAAAACTTCTGCTGGCGTTATTAATGTGTTAATGTCTGGTGCCCAGTCTGCCAGAAATATCCCGCTTAACACCATTTGATAAAACCACCTAAGGTCTGTTTTGTGGAGAGAGAAAAAATAGTACCTTGTAGCCCTCTTTGTCTGTGATCTTCCGTGATACCTTAAACAAGGCATTCGCAGTGGTGGAATCATCAATAAAGAACTCTGCTCGGTTTCCCTCTACGTGGTACTTTGGAAAACAGAGGTGAAAAAAGAGAATGCCAATCAAATGAAGCTATTTCAGGGGACAAGAGAACAAAGTCCAGTGTTTCCCCTAGGATTTATTTCAGCAGTGGTGGCAGAGGTAAATAAAACATATATTTTAGCGTCACCACTGCTAAATGCATAATGGGGAAACACTGCTCAGTCTATTTCTGGACTAGCTTGACTAACAAAAAAAGCCACTAGGCAGCAGTCACTTACATGTACTGGGGTGAAGGGCATGGAGCAGATATTCTGCAGTGCCGTTATCAGCCAGTCTTTGTCGTATTTCTTTCCATAGGGGACCTGTAAGAGTCACAATTTAGCATTGACTAAGTACAATGCAATCAATGACAGCTTAGTAGATCTGTAAAGCCACCCAATTATTTTACAACGTGGACTCACAGACATCTTGAACCAGTTCTTGCGGCCACCTCCAACTCCATCCCCTCCTTTGTTATTCCCACGACCCCTGTGACCTCCTCCTCCACCACCTCTGCGGCCCCGGTCAAAGCGGTCGTCACCACGGCGACTTGGCCTTCCATAAGGGTTACTGGCAGGGCAAAAACCATGAGGAGGTTTACAGGATAACTTCATAGATCAAACCTATAAACATGTTCAGTGAAATACTCTCCCTCTTCAGCATGACAAACTCACAATCTGTGTTGAGAGGATCCATCTTGGGAGTTGCTGTCTGTCATTGCCACGTCGCCATCTTCATCGTCAAATCTCGCTCTGGGTCCCGGGCCGCCGCCGCCTCTTTGGCTACCACGATGTCTTGGTCTTGGCCCTAGACCTACTGGCCCTTGGTCACTATACATAGGGGCCCTGAAAGGTCCCCTGCCTTTGCGGTTGCGAACCTTTTGTCCTCCAACTCTGTCATCGTGATCTGATGGACAAAGAGTCACTATAGTGAGCTTTGAGTTCACAGAAAAAGGAATTCAACCAAGCTACAGCAGTTATTAGCCTAGTAATGGCCCAGATCTGGTCTGTCATCTTCATTTGATATCATGCATGTTTGGAAGGAGCGCTAGCTGGGCGATTCCACACCAGGAAGGGCCGAAAATATTTTGGGTATCTCGAATTGTTCTGGCATTTCTCACATAGAAACCTCATTGGGAGGAAGGATGTTTGATATGCTTTTTACATTTGTATCAAAAAACAATTTGAGAAAATCATGAAGAAAGTGGTCATTTTAGGCCTCCTGTTTTTTTTTTAACCTTTATTTAACTAGGCAAGTCAGTTAAGAACAAATTATTATTTACAATGACGGCCTACACCGGCCAAACCCGGGCGACGCTGGGCCATTTGTGCGCCACCCTATGGGACTCCCAATCACGGCCGGTTGTGATACAGCCTGGAATCGAACCAGGGGTCTGTAGTGACGCCTCAAGCACTGAGATGCAGTGCCTTAGACCACTGCGCCACTAGGGAGCCTATGATCCATACATGATACAGACAACATCGTGGTGTCACTATAGTCCTTATAGTGTGCTCTAAAATATGGAGTATATATAGATTATGAAATACATTGTCACAAATGTATTCAACATAAAAAATATTAATATCTCAAAAGTACCTTTTGGATTTTGCTTATTTTTAGACATATTGTTAAAAGGTGCTACACAGAGAATGTATCCCCTATGTGGAAGCTAGGTGAATTGCAACAGCACTAGGCTGTTTTTTTTCTCTCACAAACTGAATTTTAGCAACCAGGAAATTACAGAGCGATTTCTATACTGAACAAAAATATAAACGTAACACGCAACAATTTCAATGATTTTACTGAGTTACAGTTCATAAGGAAATCAGTCAATCTATGGATTTCACATGACTGGCCATGGGCGGTCCTGGGAGGGCATAGGCCCACCCACTGTGGAGCCAGGCCCAGCCAATCAGAATGAGTTTTACACACAAAAGGGCTTTATTACAGACAGAAATACTCCTTAGTTTCATCAGCTGTCTGGGTGGCTGGTCTCATATGATCCCGCAGGTGAAGAAGCCGGATGTGGAGGTCACGGGCTGGCGTGGTAGCACGTGGTCTGCGGTTGTGTGGCCAGTTGACGTACTGCCAAATTCTCTAAAATGACGTTGGAGGCGGCTTATGGTAGAGAAATGAACATTGAATTCTCTGGCATCAGCTCTGTTGGACATTCCTGCAGTCAGCATGCCAATTGCACACTCCCTCAAAACTTGAAACATCTGTGGCTTTGTGTTGTGTGACAAAACTGCACATTTTAGAGTGGCCTTTTATTGTCCCCAGCACAAGGTGCACCTGTGTAATGATCATGCTGTTTAATCAGCTTCTTGATATGCCACACTTGTCAGGTGGATGTATTTTCTTGGCAAAGGAGAAATGATCACTAACAGGGATGTAAACAAATTTGTGCACAACATTTGAGAGAAATACGTTTTTTGTGTGTATGGAATATTTTGGGGATCTTTTATTTCAGCTCATGAAACATGGGACCAACACTTTACATGTTGCGTTTATATTTTTGTATTTTTGGCCGCTTGACCCAATTTCCACTAGATAACACAGCCACAAAGTCAAAACAGCTTTCCCATTAACAGATGCCGCTCCGGCAGCAGAAATCAATTGGCAAATATCATCAGACCCATGCTCGTGTTTCTTGGCCCAAGCAAGTCTCTTCTTCTTATTGGTGTCCTTTTAGTAGTGGTTTCTTTGTAGATCTTTTGCGGTCCTCATGAGAGCCAGTTTCATCATAGCGCTTGATGGTTTTTGCGACTGCACTTGAAGAAACTTTCAAAGTTCTTGACATTTTCCATATTGACTGACCTTCATGTCTTAAAGTAATGATGGACTGTCGTTTCTCTTTGCTAATTTGAGCTGTTCTTGACATAATATGGACTTGGTCTTTTACCAAATAGGGTTGTCTTCTGTATACCAACCCTACCATGTCACAACACAACTGATTGGCTCAAACACATTAAGAAGGAAAGAAATTCCACAAATTAACTTTTAACAAGGCACACCTGTTAATTGAAATGCATTCCAGGTGACTACCTCATGAAGCTGGTTGAAAGAATGCCAAGAGTGTACAAAGCTGTCATCAAAGCAAAGGGTGGCTACTTTGAAGAATCTCAAATATAAAAGATACAGTATTTGAAAAAAGTATTTGATCCCCTGCTGATTTTGAATGTTTGCCCACTGACAAAGAAATGATCAGTCTATAATTTTAATGGTAGGTTTATTTGAACAGTGAGAGACAGAATAACAACAATAAAAGCCAGAAAAACGCATGTCAAAAATGTTATAAATTGATTTGCATTTTAATGAGGGAAATAAGTATTTGACCCCCTCTCAATCAGAAAGATTTCTGGCTCCCAGGTGTCTTTTATACAGGTAACGAGCTGAGATTTGGAGCACACTCTTAAAGGGAGTGCTCATAATCTCAGTTTGTTACCTGTATAAAAGACACCTGTCCACAGAAGCAATCAATCAATCAGATTCCAAACTCTCCACTATGGCCAAGACCAAAGAGCTCTCCAAGGATGTCAGGGACAAGACTGTAGACCTACACAAGGCTGGAATGGGCTACAAGACCATCGCCAAGCAGCTTGGTGAGAAGGTGACAACAGTTGGTGCGATTATTCGCAAATGGAAGATACACAAAAGAACTGTCAATCTCCATCGGCCTGGGGCTCCATGCAAGATCTCACCTCGTGGAGTTGCAATGATCATGAGAATGGTGAGGAATCAGTCCAGAACTACACGGGAGGATCTTGTCAATGATCTCAAGGCAGCTGGGACCATAGTCACCAAGAAAACAATTGGTAACACACTACACCGTGAAGGACTGAAATCCTGCAGCGCCCGCAAGGTCCCCCTGCTCAAGAAAGCACATATACATGCCCGTCTGAAGTTTGCCAATGAACATCTGAATGATTCAGAGGAGAACTGGGTGAAAGTGTTGTGGTCAGATGAGACCAAAATCGAGCTCTTTGGCATCAACTCAACTCGCCGTGTTTGGAGGAGGAGGAATGCTGCCTATGACCCCAAGAACACCATCCCCACGTCACAAATGGAGGTGGAAACATTATGCTTTGGGGGTGTTTTTCTGCTAAGGGGACAGGACAACTTCACTGCATCAAAGGGACGATGGACGGGGCCATGTACCGTCAAATCTTGGGTGAGAACCTCCTTCCCTCAGCCAGGGCATTGAAAATGGGTTGTGGATGGGTATTCCAGCATGACAATGACCCAAAACACACGGCCAAGGCAACAAAGGAGTGGCTCAAGAAGAAGCACATTAAGGTCCTGGAGTGGCCTAGCCAGTCTCCAGACCTATGTATGCACGCACGACTGTAAGTCGCTTTGGATAAAAGCGTCTGCTAAATGGCATATTCTATTCTTAATCCCATAGAAAATCTGTGGAGGGAGCTGAAGGTTCAAGTTGCCAAACGTCAGCCTTGAAACCTTAATGACTTGGAGAAGATCTGCAAAGAGGAGTGGGAAAAAATCCCTCCTGAGATGTGTGCAAACCTGGTGGCCAACTACAAGAAACGTCTGACCTCTGTGATTGCCAACAAGGGTTTTGCCACCAAGTACTAAGTCATGTTTTGCAGAGGGGTCAAATACTTATTTCCCTCATTAAAATGCAAATCAATTTATAACATTTTTGACATGCGTTTTTCTGGATTATTTTGTTGTTATTCTGTCTCTCACTGTTCAAATAAACCTACCATTCAAATTATAGACTGATCATGTCTTTGTCAGTGGGCAAACGTACAAAATCAGCAGGGGATCAAATACTTTTTTCCCTCACTGTATTTTGATTTGTTTAACACTTTTTTGCTTACTACATGATTCCACATGTGTTATTTCATAGTTTTGATGTCTTCACTATTATTCTACAATGTAGAAAATAGTAAAAATAAAGAAAAATCCTGGATTGAGTAGGTCCAAACTTTTGTCTGGTACTGTATTTGGCCTTACTGCTATTAGCCCATACAACTGCATTGAATAACATATTAACTACATGGATCAACAGATAGTCCCCCAAGAAATAGCAGAATAGCAAAGTCTACTCATTAAATATTTGGAAAACAATGGTTTGGGGTATAAACATACACTATAGACTACAATATTATGCAAAGTTAGTATTGATCATATTGAACAATATTTATTTGTCATTTACATTCTGTATAGGAGTGCTTTTTGTGCTACTGTACCCTTTAAACCCACCTGAGATAAATGTCAAATTTACAAAAATTGCATTTATGTTTAACAATGCAAGGTTAATTTAACAGTAAAATAACATAAAATGCATTAAGAAATGTAAGCTGTGAATGCCTGAAATCTATTACCTTGTTGTAGTTCACCAAGGTATGTTGCTACTGTGTGACTGTGACATGCAGCCACACACGATTGATAGCATGAAAAACCCATATTTTCAATTGGCAAGAGATAGTAATTAATGTCCATGAAATATGCCATCATGTGCATATATCAGCAAATTAATTTCTTAATTTTACATAAAGTATGCTCACTTATCTGAGAAGGTACAAAAAATCTGAAAAATGTGTTTGAGGGTCGCCTCAACACCAAGGTTTTTTGCAGCTTTGAAATTGGCCACTAGTGGGAATTTACAAAAAACGATCAATAACTTAATAAAACATCTGATTAGCTTAGAATCAAAATGTATGGACATAACAACCAGTTGAATCGGTTGAAACAAACAACAGAACATTTTTTGTTTTTTATTGTAATTCAAAGATGGAACTGGGCGTAATGGGTACGTGGGCTTAATGGATACGTTTACCCTAATCTGCACAGCCGGTAATACACTCACGTCGCCCAGCGACGGGTTTGTACATAACAAATTATAAAGCAGGCTGCAAAGGCGTCCGTTTCCTTGATTTAATGGCCCGCCGGCCTAAAAAAACGGGGGAAATATGCGTACTGTCGTAGCCCTTTACACTCGTACCCATATACAAGTTGAAAATGGCAGATTTGGGCACTGATAAACACCTAAATTGGAACGCAGTGGCTGTATGATAACATGCTATACATGACGTCAGAGCTCTGCACTTCACAGCGCTGTATGGTTTTGACTGACAGCCGTTCTGAACTTGAGCACCTCGTTGTGAAAGCCTAACACTGTAATATCGTATTGTATAACTTAGCTAGTCATGTTGGCAATAGAACAAGCTTTCAAATGAACAAGCTTTCACAACACCTGACCCAGATTGCGATTTATAATGGACCGTTTTTGGATTGCGTAAACAACAGTAATTGTGTGATGGCAGGGATGCAGAGTTGTGCTGTAAACAAAACTACAAGTGTGCTTGCTCTAGTTCCTCAACAGCACAGCTAGGAAAGCTAAAAAAAAAAAAAACATTCTAGTTGAAGACTATTCTTTGAGCCATAAAAGTGCATTGAAATGACTTAGGAACTGTGCACACTGGAGGTGTGTGGGCACTTGGAGACACCAGTTAGTCCTCTCACTCAAACCCTTGTCACTTTGTTGCCTTTTGTTGCAACTATCCCACATTTTCCAGGAATATTCTTACATTTACATTTACGTCATTTAGTAGATGCTCTTATCCAGAGCGACTTACAAATTGGTGCATTCACCTTCTTATCATGTTACTGAATGTATCCAGAGTATTTTCAGATTTATTCATCAACAAACACGGCAAAAAGTACAGTAAATGTAAAATGCACATAAAATCAACAGTGTAATGTTTGGATTCAGTCGTGTCAGGTGAACTGTTGTGTCCTCACCTTTGGTCTAATAATTTTCCCATAATCTCCAAACCGTTCCCTTTCAATTGCTACCATGGTTATGCATTTTCATATTTCTTCTGTAAGAAACATTTCAATTTAGCCCTATCCATATAGGCCAATTCCCACGAGTGTAAAGGGTTAATAAAACACACTTTTCCACCACCATTACCCCTGGCTGAACATAGTGCGCAACATCAGGAAGTACTGTATCATTAGCCACTCTAGCATGGTGGTGAGAAATTGTGTTTTATTAAAGGTAACTGTTGTAGCCCATCATAATCCAAAATAAGATCGTTTCACTCCAATGTAAACAAGGTCAATGTAAACAAACCCTATATAGCCTCAAAACATGGTTAAAACTATCAATTTGATATCATGGATGATCATTCGTTATTTCTGTTTATGAATTTGAGAGTCGTTACATTTCTCCAGCCCTATCCCTCAGGTTATGTATTTATTATTTATTTTCGGCCCTTCCTGGCGTGGAATCGCCCAGATAATCCATTCTCGCTGTAATACGCAGACACGTTTTCAGCCAACTTTCAATGCTGTGATGTAACTAGAGAGCTAGCTACGAAATTACTCAACGTTGATGTAGGGTACAGTAATTAGTTACCTACGTCTATAACACAATAGCAATAGGTGGTAATGTTAGCCAACTAGCCAGTTAGATGTGTTGTCATAGTAAATGTACTAGCATGCGCGCCATGGGTCCAGAGTAAAACAATGTGCTAACGTTACCAATAAACGTGCTAGTTAACTAGCTTCTAAAGTTAAACCACAGCTAGCTATCTACTTTCTATTGCTAGCTCGCTAACTTCTTTATGTAACTAACTTGTTAGCTACCTATTAAGCTGACAAGTTAAGTAATTTATAAATAGTGTCAACCCCTAGTTATCCAATTCAGAACACATTTCGTATTACGAAAGAAAAATCGCTGACAAGGAAGAGCATTGTTGTTTACAGGTAGCTGGTTAGCTACTTTCGTTAACGTTAGCTAGATAGCTAGCAACTAGCTAAACAGCTAACGTTAGCTAGCTAACCTCAACGTACCGTTGTAGTAACGTGAATCGTCGGCTGTTGACATAGTCAGGAACCGAACACCCACTTAACGCGAATATCTAACTCCAATAATACTGGGTATTGTTACTTCTATATGTACAGCAAATTTGCGTTTATCGTCTGTGGCTAGTTAGCAAGGACGTTCGCTTTGTTCGTAGCATGCAATGTAGCTTTACGGCCCCGATGTCTGAGCATTTGCAATGGATTCGAACTCGCTTTGCTCACGACCCTCTGGTAATGACGTCATGGACACTTATTTCTCAAACGTTGTGAAAAACCAGTTCTCACAGATTTTCATGATATATTTCTTCAATGTCTGTATTATTTGTTTGTGTGTGGTCCTCTGATGTTGGATCTCACACTGATCTCAGTGTGCAGTAAAAAAAAAAAAAACTGGTGTGATGTCCTCATATTTACATTTACATTTACGTCATTTAGCAGACGCTCTTATCCAGAGCGACTTACAAATTGGTGCATTCACCTTATAGCCAGTGGGATAACCACTTTACAATTATAATTTTTTGGAGGGGGGTGTGGGGTAAGGGGGGGTTAGAAGGATTACTTTATCCTATCCCAGGTGTTCCTTCAAGAGGTGGGGTTTCAAATGTCTCCGGAAGGTGGTGAGTGACTCCGCTGTCCTGGCGTCGTGAGGGAGCTTGTTCCACCATTGGGGTGCCAGAGCAGCGAACAGTTTTGACTGGGCTGAGCGGGACCTGTGCTTCATATGAACTGTATGAACTCATATGAACTGTAACTCTGTAAAATCTTTGAAATTGTTGCATGTTGCGTTTATATTTTGTTCAGTATATTTCATGTAACCTATCGATTGGTCATAATGTAAAACTGTTGACTACTCAAAAAAAAAAATGGCTTTACAATGGGAGATGGAGTTGGCAAGAGCACAAACAGATCTGGGACCAGGGCCCATATGTACAAAGCATCTCAGAGTAGGGATGCTGATCTAGGATCAGGTACCCCTTGTCCATACAAATGTTTCAACGAGCAAAGAAGGATATGTTAAGTTACAATTGGAAGAATTTTGTTGAAAAGTATACGAAAAAAGTGATCTCACCCTGTGGGGTCAAAATGATCACAAGAACGGTGAGCAAAAATCCCAGAACCACACGGGGGGACCTAGTGAATGACCTGCAGAGAGCTGGGACCAAAGTAACAAAGCCTACCATCAGTAACACACTACGCCGCCAGGGACTCAAATCCTGCAGTGTCAGACGTGTCCCCCTGCTTAAGCCAGTACATGTCCAGGCCCGTCTGAAGTTTGCTAGAGTGCATTTGGATGATCCAGAAGAGGATTGGGAGAATGTCATATGGTCAGATGAAACCAAAATAGAACTTTTTGGTAAAAACTCAACTCGTCGTGTTTGGAGGACAAAGAATGCTGAGTTGCATCCAAAGAACACCATACCTACTGTGAAGCATGGGGGTGGAAACATCATGCTTTGGGGCTGTTTTTCTGCAAAGGGACCAGGACGACTGATCCGTGTAAAGGAAAGAATGAATGGGGCCATGTATCGTGAGATTTTGAGTGAAAACCTCCTTCCATCAGCAAGGGCATTGAAGATGAAACGTGGCTGGGTCTTTCAGCATGACAATGATCCCAAACACACCGCCCGGGCAACGAAGGAGTGGCTTCGTAAGAAGCATTTCAAGGTCCTGGAGTGGCCTAGCCAGTCTCCAGATCTCAACCCCATAGAAAATCTTTGGAGGGAGTTGAAAGTCTGTGTTGCCCAGCGACAGCCCCAAAACATCACTGCTCTAGAGGAGATCTGCATGGAGGAATGGGCCAAAATACCAGCAACAGTGTGTGAAAACCTTGTGAAGACTTACAGAAAACGTTTGACCTGTGTCATTGCCAACAAAGGGTATATAACTTTTGTTATTGACCAAATACTTATTTTCCACCATAATTTGCAAATAAATTCATTAAAAATCCTACAATGTGATTTTTCTAATTTTGTCTGTCATAGTTGACTTGTACCTATGATGAAAATTACAGGCCTCTCTCATCTTTTTAAGTGGGAGAACTTGCACAATTGGTGGCTGACTAAATACTTTTTTCCCCCACTGTATATGAATGATCAGAAAGAATGAAGTCAATTTATACACATTTCAAACCAAATAATATATTTGACGCAACTGATGAATGCTCTGGTTGTTTACTACTTTTAGTTTTATCAACTTTGATATCAAATCAGTCATAGTTTTGTTAATTTAATTACAGTTCATGTGCATTATCATGTTTTTCTTTACCTGGGCACTACGTTCCTCCACCTCTGGCCTGCTAGCGGAAGTACAGGTCCCGCTCAGCCCAGTCAAAGCTATTCGCTGCTCTGGCACCCCAATGGTGGAACAAGCTCCCCCAGGACGCCAGGACAGCGGAGTAACTGACCACCTTCCGGAGACACTTGAAACCCTACCTAACAGTAATCCTTCTACCCCCCATGCACATTTTAGGGTGGCCTTTTATTGTCCCCAGCCCAAGGTGCACCTGTGTAATGATCATGCTGTTTAATCAGCTTCTTGATATGCCACACCTCTCAGGTGGATGGATTATCTTGGCAACGGAGAAATGCTCACTAACACGGATGTAAACAAATTTCTACACAACATTTTAGAGAAATACGCCTTTTGTGCATAAGGAACATTTCTGGGATCTTTTATTTCAGCTCATGAAACATGGGACCAACACTTCACATGCTGCGTTCATATTTTTGTTCAGTGTATAATAGGGCTGTTGTGATACTGAAAGTCAGAGGCTGCTTATTTCAACATTGGTGTGAACTTGGCACAAAGAAAACCCTGTCATAAACACATTTCACATCAAATACCAGGACGTTACAGAGCACTGTCACTGCATTGTTATATTTCAGTGAAAAATTCACTACCTACTACTAGGACACTATTAACTCTTAAAGAACCACTTCACCGGAAAATAACCTCAGATTTGTTATCATCAGCATACACCATTTTACCTGATTAACAACAAAATATTGAATGTATTCACATTTTGTGCACAGCATTTTTTAAAAACCTGGGCATTAAAGCATAAATAACATAAAAGCAATCATTGCATGTACACAATTGCAGGTAAAGAAAAACATGATAATGCACTGTAATTAAATAAACAAAACTATGACTGATTTGATATCAAAGTCGATAAAACTAAAAGTAGTAAACAACCAGAGCATTAATCAGTTGCGTCAAATATATTTTTCGGTTTGAAATTTGTATAAATTGACTTCATTCTTTCTGATCATTCATATACTGACACAATTCTCATTAGTTATCTAAAACAGAAAAAATACATGTATTTAAAAACAAAGTAATATTGAGGTCCACTTTGGAAAAAAGTGCTTTAATAAATACTTTTAAGTGCTATCCTTTGGGAATACAATGTACATCTTGCTGTATATGTTTCGGCCCAAATAAATTCAATTCAACATGTGGTGGTCCCTGTAACAGCTCTAAGTGGCTCAAGGAAAATCATCCAATAACCTTCTGCAAAGGCGTAAACATAATGCATGTTCCTTGCGTTTAAGATGAATAACTCTGGAGAAACATTAAATGTGTAACAGTGTAATCTGCAGGGTCCTCATTCAGCAGCTCAGGGCTCTCTGATTCTTATGGTAACCATAGGCTTCAATCACAGGCACAAAAGGCATTCTCAACTATGCTTGTGTACCTGCTCAATCACATTCCTTAAGACTCATTCGTAAAACAAAAAGGCTGAACAACTGTCTCTGCTACAATGATGCAGGCTAGGGAATTAAATAAGTGCTTAAAGACCGGAGTGATTCTTTTCATTGCTCTGAAAGACATGCAAGTCAGGATTGAGCTAAATCCTACAAATATTTGCCTAACTGAAGGAGGCTTATAACCTTGACACTAGTTGATCGTTGAAAAATCAAAGAGCATAGCTATCATGCCATGTTCCAAAGTCGCTTTGGATAAAAGCCTCTGCTAAATGGCATATATTATTACATTATATGATTATTATTATATTACATGCTAAATAAAAGGATAGGCTATATGGAATATTTGCAGATGCGTCTGAGTGCAGGGAGTTTGTAGGAGTCAGTCTGTCAATCTTTCTGCTTCTGTCCATACATCAATCTCTCTCTCTCTTTGCCTGTCAGTGAAAGGCACATTGAGGGACCTGTGAGCGTTTTAATGTCTGAGCGATGATCCATGGTTCACAGACTCATCCAGGGTCCCTGTCTCTGACGCAGCGTAGATTCCCCTGGCTGAGGTACCTGGTGTCCCTCCCACAGGACTGCTCCTGCACCTTTATCCTGCGGATCAGCAGGCTCCTCCTCACTTGCATCGGTCTCGTTAATCTGAGGAGCCTTCGGAGGCACATCTGATGACGACCCTATAGCTAACACAGGGAGGTAGAGTTAGACTGAATAAATGATTATAACAGCGAAAGGTTATTACAAATAACTCAAGTAGTTCAGGAAAAAGGCAGAGCGTCAACAATCCTCGTCTGAAAGAGTCTTACCTGTTTGATTCTCTGGCAAACCAGAGGGCTCCTTCAGGGAACCAATCACATCTGGTGTTTCCAGCTCCACTACAAAAACAAACAGCCGTTACAACTGTAGTAGAGACAGAATGCAAGAATATAATGTAAACAGCAACTTTGCTGAGCAAAAGACAGTATGGTAACATTAATAGCATGATGTTACACAAAACATAAAAATAACCTGTCATCATAATCCATAACCACTCTTCAAGTAGGCCTACAAATCCACAACAACACAAAGTCTGCCCAAACTAGTAATCTAACACATTGTGAGACGAGTCAGTATAAATTAAATCAAGATCAGTTGATTTAATATACTGTTGTGTATAGCTTGTGTATACACTTTTACTCACACATTCTAATGGATCTTTCTATAAACTAGGTTATCAGTGAGGATTTCCTACACTGGACAACTTGTTACAGCTGTTGATAAGTCATTGAAAATAGTCTGCCAATTTTTTTCATGTAATTACATTAAGATATAAGGGGGGATCATAGCTATATTCAATAAAAACCAGGAGTTGATTTAAAACATATGTTTAACCCTTTATCATGGTTGGTGTCTTGACGGAATTGTCCAAAATCGTGTAACATAAAACATTACTTTTCTGTCCTTGCATTTATGCCAGTGTAAGTTGTCGTTATATCATATACAGTGCCTTTGGAAAGTATTCAGAACCCTACAGTTGACCAATCACGGACGAAGGGGTGTAGATTTGGCTCCAAAACTTCAGCTGGCTTTGAGAAAAATGTGTGCCCAAACAGCCTACAAAATCCTAGCCAAACACCAAAACGTCCCAAAATGTCATTATAATACAGTGTATTCAGAAAGTATTCAGACCCCTTGACTTTTTCCACATTGTTACGTTACAGCCTTATTCTAAAATGGATTTAATTATTATTTTTTCCTCAGGTGCATCCTGTTTCCATTGATTATCCTTGAGATGTTTCTACAACTTGATTGGAGTCCACCTGTGGTAAATTCAATTGATTGGACATGATTTGGAAAGGCCCACACCTGTCTATAAGGTCACACAGTTGACAGTGTATGTCAGAGCAAAAACCAAGCCATGAGGTCGAAGGAATTGTCCGTAGAGCTCCAAGACAGGATTGTGTCGAGGCATAGATCTGGGGAAGGGTCCCAAAATATGTCTGCAGCATTGAAGGTCCCCAAGAACATAGTGGCCTCCATCATTCTTAAATGGAAGAAGTTTGGAACCACCAAGACTTTACATAGAGCTGTTTGCCCAGCCAAACTGCGCAATCGAGGGAGACGGGCCTTGGTCAGGGAGGTGACCAAGAACCCGATGGTCACTCTGACAGAGCTCTAGAGTTCCTCTGTGGAGATGAGAGAACCTTCCAGAAGGACAACCATCTCTGCAGCACTCCACCAATCAGGCCTTTATGGTAGAGTGGCCAGACGGAAGCCACTCCTCAGTAAAAGGGACATGACAGCCCGGTTGGAGTTTGTCAAAAGGCACCTAAAGATTCTCAGACCATGAGAAACAAGATTCTCTGGTCTGATGAAACCAAGGTTGAACTCTTTGGCCTGAATGCCAAGGGTCACGTCTGGAGGAAACCTGGCACCATCCCTACGGTGAAGCGTGATGGCAGCATCATGCTGTGGGGATGTTTTTCAGCGGCAGGGACTGGGAGACTAGTCAGGATCGAGGCAAAGATGAACGGAGCAAAGTACAGAGAGATCCTTGATGAAAACTTGCTCCAGAGTGCTCAGGACCTCAGACTGGGGCGAAGGTTCACCTTCCAACAGGACAACGACCCTAAGCACACAGCCAAGACAATGCAGTAGTGGCTTCGGGACAAGTCTCTGAATGTCCTTGAGTGGCCCAGTCAGAGCCTGGACTTGAACCCTATCGAATATCTCTGGAGAGACCTGAAAATAGCTGTGCAGCAATGCTCCTCATCCAACATGGCAGAGCTTGAGAGGATCTGCAGAGAAGAATGGGAGAAACTCCCCTAATACAGGTGTGCCAAGCTTGTAGCGTCATACCCAAGAAGACTCAAGGCTGTAATCACTGCCAAAGGTGCTTCAACAAAGTACTGAGTAAAGGGTTTGAATACTTACAGTGGGGGAAAAAAGTATTTAGTCAGCCACCAATTGTGCAAGTTCTCCCACTTAAAAAGATGAGAGAGGCCTGTAATTTTCATCATAGGAACACGTCAACTATGACAGACAAATTGAGAAAAAAAAATCCAGAAAATCACATTGTAGGATTTTTAATGAATTTATTTGCAAATTATGGTGGAAAATAAGTATTTGGTCACCTACAAACAAGCAAGATTTCTGGCTCTCACAGACCTGTAACTTCTTCATTAAGAGGCTCCTCTGTTCTCCAGTCATTACCTGTATTAATGGCACCTGTTTGAACTTGTTATCAGTATAAAAGACACCTGTCCACAACCTCAAACAGTCACACTCCAAACTCCACTATGGCCAAGACCAAAGAGCTGTCAAAGGACACCAGAAACAAAATTGTAGACCTGCACCAGGCTGGGAAGACTGAATCTGCAATAGGTAAGCAGCTTGGTTTGAAGAAATCAACTGTGGGAGCAATTATTAGGAAATGGAAGACATACAAGACCACTGATAATCTCCCTCGATCTTGGGCTCCATGCAAGATCCTACCCCGTGGGGTCAAAATGATCACAAGAACGGTGAGCAAAAATCCCAGAACCACACGGGGGGACCTAGTGAATGACCTGCAGAGAGCTGGGACCAAAGTAACAAAGCCTACCATCAGTAACACACTACGCCGCCAGGGACTCAAATTCTGCAGTGCCAGACGTGTCCCCCTGCTTAAGCCAGTACATGTCCAGGCCCGTCTGAAGTTTGCTAGAGTGCATTTGGATGATCCAGAAGAGGATTGGGAGAATGTCATATGGTCAGATGAAACCAAAATAGAACTTTTTGGTAAAAACTCAACTCGTCGTGTTTGGAGGACAAAGAATGCTGAGTTGCATCCAAAGAACACCATACCTACTGTGAAGCATGGGGGTGGAAACATCATGCTTTGGGGCTGTTTTTCTGCAAAGGGACCAGGACGACTGATCCGTGTAAAGGAAAGAATGAATGGGGCCATGTATCGTGAGATTTTGAGTGAAAACCTCCTTCCATCAGCAAGGGCATTGAAGATGAAACGTGGCTGGGTCTTTCAGCATGACAATGATCCCAAACACACCGCCCGGGCAACGAAGGAGTGGCTTCGTAAGAAGCATTTCAAGGTCCTGGAGTGGCCTAGCCAGTCTCCAGATCTCAACCCCATAGAAAATCTTTGGAGGGAGTTGAAAGTCTGTGTTGCCCAGCGACAGCCCCAAAACATCACTGCTCTAGAGGAGATCTGCATGGAGGAATGGGCCAAAATACCAGCAACAGTGTGTGAAAACCTTGTGAAGACTTACAGAAAACGTTTGACCTGTGTCATTGCCAACAAAGGGTATATAACAAAGTATTGAGAAACTTTTGTTATTGACCAAATACTTATTTTCCACCATAATTTGAAAATAAATTCATTAAAAATCCTACAATGTGATTTTCTGGATTTTTTTTCCTCATTTTGTCTGTCATAGTTGACGTGTACCTATGATGAAAATTACAGGCCTCTCTCATCTTTTTAAGTGGGAGAACTTGCACAATTGGTGGCTGACTAAATACTTTTTTTCCCCACTGTATGTAAATGTTATATCAGTTTTTTTTATTTTTTTTATAAATTAGCAAAAATGTCTAAAAACCTGTTTATGCTTTGTCATTATAGGGTATTGTGTGTAGACCAATTGAATCCATTTGAGAATAAGGCTGTAATGTAACAAAATGTGGGAAAAGTCAAGGGGTCTGAATACTTTCCGAAGGCACTGTATTAAGCATTAATCAGTTAAATTAGACATTGAACTGGAATCCTGGATCTAGCTTTTGGACAGTTTTTTGTATAGAGATCTCAGAAATGCAGTGTAACTATGTAACATTGTGTCTCCTTCAGCTACAGGGTGAAAACAGTTTTCATGGGCACACAAATCCAAAATGATGTATGCAATTGCAAAATTGAATGCTTCTAGCCAAAATAGTCATCTTACCTTGATACTTAAAACCTAAATAGATACTGTCATTTTTTATTAATTAATTTAATTTTACCTTTATTTAACTAGGCAAGTCAGTTAAGAACAAATTCTTATTTACAATGACGGCCTACACCGGCCAAACCCGGACGACGCTGGGCCAATTGTGCGCCGCCCTATGGCACTCCCAATCACGGCTGGTTGTGATACAGCCTGGAATCGAACCAGGGGGTTTGTAGTGACGCCTCAAGCACTGAGATGCAGTGCCTTAGACCGCTGCGCCACTCAGGAGCAGCGTGGTTCTTCAATAATTATGCATAATACTTGATGGATGCACATTTTCCAAATGAGAGTCAAGTGATGAACGGCTGTTGTGATAGCCCAAGTGCTGGAAAAATGGTGTCTCATTCGTTACACCGGTGAAGACAGTTGTGCCTGGATCCACGTTGGCTCTAATTTCCCTAGCGAATTGATGTTGATAATCTGTTGTGGTGGTCAGCTCGATTTACAGCAGTGTCTAGTTAGATTTAACAGAAAAAGCATCAAGGTAATCAGTTCATGTTTTCATACTTTTTGCCTCGGATTGGACACAGTCTACTGTGCTCAACTGTATAGGATATACTATTGCGCAACACCCAGCGCTATACCTATTAATTATTCTGGATATAATGAAAACAAATTACATATCCTAGTGGACTTATTCACAATATGATCTGGAAAATAAAATAACATGACAAATACATTTTGTTTTCCATGTTACACCTGCAATTCTAAACAATACAAGGGGCTTGAAGTAGCTTACTTGAATTTAGAGCTCAGAAATTCTGCTTGAAAAGTCCTTGTAATTATTGTAGCCAATGTATAAGTTCCCCTGCTCCCTTATAATTATCTGCAATTTCATTTTTGATCAGTTTATGTGAGAGATGTGGCCACTTTCATTTGTTTCCCACTATTTCAATTGAAGAGTGTTGCGCTACTCTTGTTGCAGTAAAACCAATTGCGGTTATTATGAGGACGACATAATCTAAATCTGAATGTAAAAAATGTAATAGTCCTGTAATAGCGGACTAGCCGTCTGCAGCGGGCAAAACTCCCCCCACCGGTTGAAGAGAAAAATTGCAGCACCCCCACCCCCAAACTACTTCCAGTGCCTGCGTCGCCCACATAGGCAACAAAAAAATCAGTTATATAAATTATACAATTGTATGACATTGAGGTCCTTGAAAATGACAATTAAATGCTTGAAAAAATCCCTGAAATTCCTTGAATTTGACTTGCCAATGTCTGTATGAACCCTGCTTAAAGGATGTATAGTCCTAGGCCTATGTTGTTGTATAGGTGGAGTTATGGGCCAATTTGCTTACATTCAATTGTATTCCTCTAAACTATTTTGAAATTTTGACCACAATGTCACACATTGGCCCCAATATTTATAGAAAGCCTAATACCCTCACCTTTCTTTATTGCTGATGCTTGTTGTCTAGGTTCTTCCAACTGCTCAGCCACACGGTCATTATCTTTCTGAGGCATTTGAGCTAAAACACATTCAGATTAACCATGTTATGTCTGTTTTACACAATGGGTGTGATGCGTGTTGTAGAGTAGAACAAACTCACTCTGTGAGAAGGACATGCGCTTCCGAGCCTCTTCTCTTCTCCGCTGCAGGCGAGTCGTGTCTCCCATCATAACCTACGGACATGATAAACCAAACAAAACACAGTTGAAGTTTTGAGGATCAGCTCCAAGCAGATATTTTAATGTAGATATATATTACATTTACATTTTACATTTTTGTCATTTAGCAGACGCTCTTATCCAGAGCGACTTACAGGAGCAATTAGGGTTAAGTGCGTTGCTCAAGGGCACATCGACAGATTTTTCACCTAGTCGGCTCGGGGATTAGAACCAGCAACCTTTCGGTTACTGGCACAACGCTCTTAACCACTAAGCTACCTGCCGCCCACTGTATAGATGGGGAACATCCTATGACAGTGGAGAAAATGAGACAACATCTTACCCTGACCTGCTCAGGAGGCCAAAGTCCCCCCCATATAAACTGCAGGTATCCGAAAAGCACAATGACACTGAGGAAGGCAAAGTTGCTGGCCACGCCGATCACTGCAGACGTCAATGGGAAATTGTATAGGAGGTATCTATTAAGACAAAGGGTTCAGAGAAAGGAGAAAGAGAAGGATGGATGGGGAATAGGATGAAAACAAAAGAACGGAAGATACAACAGTAAGAAAACGAATGACATTCTATTTATTCTGATAATTGGCCTCAAATAATCTGGATTTGAAACAGAAATAATTGATACGATTGGGAGGAGGTCTATACCTGATGCCAGTGAAGAAAGCATGGATCCTGAGTTGAGCTGAATAGATCTGCACCCGCCGAGACTGGATCTCAATGACCGCACCAACAGTGGGTTGATACTGTAGTGAGTGACAAATATTTTGACCTTATTACCTAAAAAAGTCTGACTTGGCCAGTCTTGCAGAACTGAACAAATGCGAGACTAAGTGGTCTGGCTTGCGAGATTATTAAAAGTCCAATAAGATGGGCAACTCATTCTCACTTTGAAAGAGGACATTTTACTCAGGTTGTATTTGTTTGGACTGCTTCTTAATAAATTAGTTCCGTCCATGTATGGTTTAATTGAAAGCACATGAACATCAAATGCTGCTGAAAGGGAAGTATGCTTGGTAAATCAAATTACATCAAATAAAAATGAAATGATTCAGATAACATGCAAATTGTGATCACAGGATCATGACGATCTGATTCAGTAGGCAGGCCCAGAGCAGACAGCATGACAAGAACTAAGTGCAAGCTCTGTGGGAGAGGAAAATTGATTTGATATGTACAGGCAACACTTACAGAATTGGCCTTGTAGTCTGAGAAGAGTTCAACCTCAACGAGCTGCTTCTGCTCCGTCATCCCAGTCAGCAGGAGAGGAGAGAACAGTAGAGTATTCAAGGTCTGCAGGAGACCAGAGCGGTAGTGCAGCATAGCCTGGTAGAGAATATAAGGGCCACACAATCATCAAATAACAAAAATGTCCATGTTCAATTCTAACATTGTGAAGTATTAGAGGAAATGTTATGTTGGAGGACACTCAAGGAATCAAATAAAAGTGTATTTGTTGCGTACACAGTTTAGCAGATGTTATAACGGGTGCAGCGAAATGCTTGTGTTACTAGCTCATAACAGTGCAGCCAAAATGTCAAACAAGTACACACATAATAATCAAAAACTAGAAATAATACATCTTAAACGTCAGAACGAATCCAGTTAACAACCCAAATAACACTGTATCAGTAATCCAAATGCAATCTATGCGTATATATACCAAAACGATATACTAAGAATGATAAACACAGCAGTAGATATATTACAGTGAGCTACGTCGAGAATCCAGTTATGTGCCACCAAGCACTGAAATGTTTGTAGAGGCTCAGAAGAGAGATTGGTCTAGTAGGAGGACAAACAGAATCAACATAGCACTTTAGCACTCACAGAGCGCGCCACAGCTGCAACTGTCTGGCCGTCCTTGGTGTAGCAAGACATCTTAATCATGAACATGCCAAGCTGTTCGTTGACTGGCGACTCAGGCATTTCCAGCTCTAAAGAGATTCGATATGGCTGACCATAGATCATAACCTAGGAAAGACAATAAGGGGTAGAATACGGTAAGAGAGACAGTGAGCATACCTGACTACAGCGATAATTTCTTAGCATATTGAAATTATATTAGAATCTAGCTCAGGATAGAGGGGGTGAGGAAAATAATGGTTAATATGTGAAGAGCATACCTGGTCTTTGCCATTCTTTAGCAGCGAGATGTTAGCCACGGGGAAAGAGCAGAGGACTGAATTGGAGGCATCACAATCGGTACTAGAACAAACAGTGGTAAGGAAAAAAAGTGTGACATGTTATGGGCCTACACTTTTTACATTGACATGGTACTAATAGCTCAAAACAAAAATCAGGTGCAACAGCATATGAGTATTTTGTTAAGTGTAGCTAAATGCTCATGCAAAAGCAATGATTTATTTTTAAAATAAACCATTCAAAGTGTGAGTGAAAGGAGAGTAAAGAGTGGATTTAACTTCCAATTTGAAGACAAAAAGCCACAAAACAAACTTTCCATGATGTCTCTCAGTACCTGTAGCGGTAGTGCACTGGTGTAGAAAAGCTGACGGTGGGCATATAGGAGTAGTAGAAGCTGCCATAGAGGAAGATGGCTACCCAGACCAGCAGCACTAGAACGCAGAAGAGGATGGCAGCCTGCAGTAGAGTCCTGCGGGCTCTGAGGAGAGTTACCCCTAACACATCCTGCAGCCACAGGAAAACTGGTCCCGTTACACCACCCATGGCGACTGACCTAGCACTGACTCTTCCTGACTCCTGTCTCTGGTCCTGACGTTCCACACCACTCCCTGAGAACTCACTGCCTTATTCCTGTGGCTCCTGCCAAAAGCCCCCCTCTCTCTCTCTCTCTCTCTCTCTCTCTCTCTCTTTCTCTCTCCTTCCTTGGAAAAAAATAGTTTTTCTTTTGAGGGCTATGGCTCCCTTTTAATTGGAGGAAGCCAACTCAACAATTCCAACATTGGCCTGCTCATCCATAAGAAAACACTTGCAAAATAATATATATATATATTTGTCACATCCCCTTAATATGACATTAATTACTTAACGTTCTTTGTCTACTGCAAGTCAAATCTGATAATGAGCTGTTGACTGGGCCTTTAATATTTCTGTAGCAAGCTGTAAAATAGGAGAGAAAAGCATTGAGACTTTAATGCAGATGAATACTGAATACAAAGGCACCATTCAAATGTACATCACTCACAAGATAGAAATCATTCTGCTTCATATAACTATTTATAGTGTCTCAAACAATGAGTTTTACGAGTTTTTTCTTTACTGCCAATGGACATGTGAGAGAGCAATTAGTTATATGCATGACAGAGGAAACTGTAAAAGCTTGAAGGACTTAATCCATCAATATGACAAAAAAATAAAGTACAGCCTCCTAACGTTAGTTAGCAATGCTGCTGGCCTGAGCACTTTTACCTTTATAATAACGTTAATAGAAGGCTCATCTGCTACTAGATAGTTAGCTAGCTAAAACATTATGAGGATAACAACATTTCAAAATGATGACGAATGACAGTGGTTGTTACCCATATATTTCAACAGAATGTCATTTATTTTATATTATCTGGGATTCAGTTGACATGTAACTACCTTTATAGCAAAACACCTGCAAAGGTAGCAAGCTAACGTTAGCTAACTAGCTAGCTACATGCTAACAACTGGCTAACTCGCCCAAGACAAGTGCAAGTGCTTGGCTAGAATGCGTCCAAAATTGCAACACCCTCATACTCACCTTTTCGTCTATAGCAAAGCTGCAGCACTATACATGAACAATTAACATACACGTAATTGTGATCAGTAAAAGTGAAAAATCTTAAAATATTTATGGATATACACAATTATATTTACTCTAACTAGCTAGCTACTTCCTAAAAAGCAAAAACTACAGGAAAAACTGCAACTACGACACGGACGACAGGACAAACCTCAAGACCAAAGCAACGCGTTCATTAGTAAAGGGTGCACAGAGAGGTTGACGTTGAGAACATGATGTCAAACCTCCATCTGTAACCATGAAAGGTTTTATCTATGGGAATTGGTGTAGACATTTCAAATAAGATAGATAGCATATATTAGATCAGGGGAAATGATGTGGTTAAAACCATAGCCTATGCTACAATCTCATTGCTTCCTATTGTGGAAAGAAATGATTATTAATATGTTCATAATTACTCAAAATGATTCAACTGAATTTCCCATTATGATAAGAGATTTTATCCATGTCATTATCATGCCATTGTCCTTTTTCACATCTTCTATTCTCTCCAGTTTAAATCAAGATGTCTGGGGAGAGAGAAGCGAGAGGGAGAGAGACAGAGAGAAGAGAGGCAGAGAGAGAGAAGAGAGAAGAGAGAAAGAGAGAGAGAAGAGAGAGAGAGAGAGAGAGAGAGAGAGAGAGAGAGAGAGAGAGAGAGAGAGAGAGAGAGAGAGAGAGAGAGAGAGAGAGAGAGAGAGAGAGAGAGAGAGACTGTAACATTAGAGGGCGTGATGGGGGAAGGGAGAGAGAGTGGAGACAAGAGGGGGTAAGTGATGGGCAGCAATGGTTGGGGGAACTACAAAGATACTGTATCTTGCCAAGGTGGGAGAAACCATTGAGGGCAGTATGATGACAGAATGTAAAAGACAAGGAGCCAGAGACTGCAGCAGTTCCCATGGCAACAGAGGAGAGAGGGAGGGGGGTAACTGATGCAAATAACAAACATAATATAAATTCCAACAGTGCATATCAAAGATAGTGAATATTATATTTGGCCTTTGGACACAAAACATAAAACAGCATGCTCATATTTTCTTATGACAATGAATTTTTTGGTGAGATTCCATATCTGCCTAATTACCCTCTATTTTCATGTAGAGATGGTATGATCCAGCTCTCAGAAGAAAAACGATTCCAATGGAGCCCTCCTCCCTTTGCCTGGAAGGTTCCACTCACTGCATAGGGGGTTCTTATGCATGTACCAGGAGTCTGATGTTCATTGTAGCAGAATTGCAGTGCACTGGACTGTACAGAACAGTGTAGCATACACTGTCTATGAGGGGTGGGGTTCAGCTACACTCAAATCACAAACACAGGCAGATAGAGGGTGAGAGAGCGAGAGGGAGAGAAGAGGAGGGAGAGAAAGCACCTGAAGAGGAATACAACAAGGGTAAGGTAGAAGATGAGAAGGAGCTGATGAAGGAAAGGAATATTAAGAGGAGAGAGAGAGGACCAGAATGGTAGAAATAGACTCCTATATGGACTGGTCTTGTTGCCTCTCTCTTTCTCCGGTTATCCATTTCTCCTCACACTTCTTGTTCATTATTTATTTATTTTCTGTTGAACCTTCTCTATGCTGTCACTTCAACTTGATCTGTATTAAGCAGGCAGTGGTTTGCTTTGTATCCCTTGCATATTTGATGTGATTTGATGATATTCACACACATCGGGTGGATCTGTGTGTGCTGAGGCAACTGTATATCTGTGTATTTCTCCCAGGTTTTTGGTTACATGAGTCATTCAAATAGTGAATTCCCATCAAACGAGGTCCCATAAAAAGCTGGCCATATCAAATAGATCTAGAAAATGTGTCATCATCATCCTATTAGCCTGACCTAAAACTATTTGTTTTCAGCAAGAATAAGGTCTTTCTTCTATACCTTCTACAAGCTCTAGAGATTTCTGTCTGCCATTGAGGATCATAATGCGGTCTGCTTGAACATATAAGAAACCTATTGATGATGTAATTATTAGAATGTAACCTCTTTTATGTTATTAATAGATTACAGCTAGAGTGGCATGGTATGGCATAGTGGAGAAAATCATACCTGGCCTCTGGACATAAGTGTATTGTACTTCTCTTCTAGCCAGTGCATAAAAACATTTTAACTGACAGGCTGACTATCCGTAAGAAGGCAAATCAATTGTAGACCGACACAATTAAACACAGAGACCACTAATAATCAATGTTTAGAGTATGAATGGTCCTATACCTTATAGATGTATTTATATCAAAGTGAGGTATTGTTTTTCTTGGACAGAGAGCTTTTAACAAGTAAGTAGTAAATTACACCATTGGTCCCTAGAGATAGAGAGAGACAGACAGAGGAGGGGAGGGAGGAGAGCAGAGGAAGATTGAAGTGAATGAGCTAAAAGTGTGTCAAATTTAGTGGAATTGGATGCCGTTCGTGATTCATGAAAATGTACACTGAGTATACCAAACATTAGGAACATCTTCCTAATATTGAGTTGTTGGCCCCATGTTGACTCCAATGCTTTCCAGAGTTGTGCCAAGTTGGCTGGATGTCCTTTGAGTGGTGGACCATTCTTGATACACACAGGAAACTGTTGAGTGTGAAAAACCCAGCAGTGTTGCAGTTCTTGACACAAACTGGTGCGCCTGGCACCTACTACCCCGTTCAAAGGCACTTACATTTTGTGTCTTGCCCATTCACCCTCTGAATGGCACACATACACAATCCATTTCTCAATTGTCTCAGGGCTTAAAAATCATTTAACCTGTCTTCTCCCCTTCATATACACTGATTGAAGTGGATTTAACAAGTGACATCAATAAGGGATCATATAGTAGCTTTCACCTGGATTCACCTGGTCAGTCTGTCATGGAAAGAACAGGTGTTCTTAATGTTTTGTATACTCAGTGTATATTTTCATTAATAAAAATCCATACAAATGTAAGTTACCTAGAATGAATGCAGTGCAATTGTTTAATGTCATGCAATACACCTGCCTTTTCAGTTGTCAGGGTAAGGTGTATTTTTTTCTAAAACAAAATGATTGAATGTGTTTGTGTGACTCATGTGCCATATGTTTCATTGGCTCTCTTGACAGGATGAAAGGAGACACCCCAGTGAACAGCACCATGAGTGTCGGCCAAGCCAGGAAGCTGGTGGAGCAATTGAAGATTGAAGCCAGTTTTTGCAGGATCAAGGTAAGCCTTGCCAGAGGCATCCTGCTCATTGAAACTGAGGGGGCACGTTGCACTTGCCTTTGTAAGTCTTTGGTAAATACCCACACCCTCATTTCCAGTCTTGATTCCCACTACTTGCCACCCTCAGGTATCAAAGGCGGCTGCAGACCTGATGGCATACTGTGATGCCCACGCCATTGAGGACCCCCTCATCACCCCTGTGCCCACCTCGGAGAACCCATTCAGGGAGAAGAAGTTCTTCTGTGCACTCCTTTGAGACAAACCACAGGATGGTTGTGAATTACACTGTCCAGATAGAACATAATGTAAACTGAGTATACCAAACATTAGGAACACCTTCCTAATATTGAGACACAAACTGGTGCGCCTGGCACCTACTACCATACCCCGTTCAAAAGGCACTTACATTTTGTCTTGCCCTTTCACCATCTGAATGGCACACATACACAATCCATGTCTCAAGGCTTAAAAATCCTTCTTTAACCTGTCTCCTCCCCTTCATCTACACTGATTGAAGTGGATTTAACAAGTGACATCAATAAGGGATCATAGCTTTCACCTGGATTCACCTGGTCAGTTTACGTCATGGAAAGAGCAGGTGTTCTTAATGTTTTGTATACTCAGTGTATGTACATGCATTCACCACATACACAAAGCTAAATATAACTTATCCATGTAGCCTGCTTTAGCTTATGAAAGGCTGCAGATGTACATATTCTCCTAAATAAAATCAAGACCAATTAGCGCCCTTCTTTTTGGGATAAAACTGATTTGTTAATTTTCAACCAACATATACATTTAATGTAGATCTACATAAACATAACCATTTAAATATATATGGAGTCATGAGTATACATACAGTATACACATCTAAAACACATCAACAAAGCTTATAGAATCATGAACTGTAGCACAACATAAAAGTGGATATACATACAATATGTAAACAGCTCATAGTCCTAGCTCATTTTTCAAATGAACTCAATAGGCTAATGGGTGACGAAGAGAGAGGGGTGACAACTACACATTAATTGTAATTATTTTGAACTTTTAATACACACTTTACAGTAAATATGAATTGCCTAATCTGCCTTTGTTAAATAGTTTTTTTTGTGTGTATGAGATGTCTTGACAGTCCTGTATGTGACTTTTTTAAGCTTTGTTGCAGAAATGTGCGTGAGGTGTATTTGCCACTGTGGACCAGTAGGACAGTAAGAGGACAAGTCAATACACACTGATCCAAATAATTCCACTGGCACTGGATGTACAAGAGGTGGTCAGCCGCCTTAACAAGATCAGCGGCCTATGAAGAGAGGGGTTTCCAATAACAATGATCAATGCTGTTTTGATAAATGATAAGTGGTTTAATTTGTCAAGTGGATGTCTAATAAGGCTATATGACAATAACAAAAATAAGCAGTACATTTAATAAATAACACATAAAAATTGCTGTTATGGGATTATTTTCGCGACCAGTCTTTTAGGTTGCTTATCTGATCAAGTTCAGAAATTGTATTACTCTTTCTAGATCAGTGTTACTTAAACCTTTACTGTTCCTATTTCTTACCAAAACGAATTAAGAGCTTTGAATAAAAGGGGACTTGGGAATCAAAGATTAAAATAAACACTCCTGTCACAAAAATATTTTTGCATGTCATTTTATTATTTATTTTTTCTCAAAAACAAAACAAACTCAGAATTGTCCAGATCTTGCAGTTGTTTCTGTTAATTTCAAAATAAAAATATAAAAACTAACATGCTTTCACAGTCAATATGCAAAAACATGAACCAGTGTTTCAGTAAAACCATCCTTCGACGATTAAACATTAGACAGCAACACAAGTATGCTCATAAATTAATTCCTGGAACAACAGTGCTCCTTACTGTGGGTTTACTTTAGGTTTTCATTTGTGTGAAGATTGAAAATAAGGTGATTTGTGGTAGCTAGCTTCTTAATCCGCATGCACTGCTCCACAACTCAAGGAACATTGCAGATAAATGTTTTTGCATTACAACGTTAAGGCATTTCTTCAACATCTCTTCAAACAAACACATAAGATAACATGGGGCAATTACAAATATAAATCTTAAAATTATTTCATGTGAACTCGGTTGTAAAAATTAACAGCGCAACATCTTACAGATGTTAAAGCTCTGTGGTGTCTAAAATGGTTTAAAATGCTATTAATTAATTTAGGGACAAGTTCGTTTAAATAAATGCAGGGGCAAACTGTCAGAGTTGGAGATAAGTACAGGCATTAGTTATACCTTTTTTATGAAGGGAACGTAATGATAAAAAGTGTTTTCCTTTGACAGAGAACAAAAAGTGAAACATAAAGTGCACAAAAACAAAAATGAACTCATCCCAAGGCTTCTGTGCGGCCAAAGATATTAATCATAGAAAAGGTCAGCATTACGGATCTACACAATTGGGTGAAACAACCTCATGGATGACTGCAGCAAAGTATGTCTTACTAATTTTTAAGCATCTATAGGTCTCTGAATTGTGACTATTGTTTAAAATAACCAGGTGTTACGATGTACGAATTTGCTTAACTGCCTCATGTGCAGTGTGCCCATATGAGGTGCAAGTTAATGTGAGACCATAGAAGTAAATAGATGTTTGGGATATATAAAATGGAACAACCAAAACCGAAGAAAAACGCTTCTCTACAGGAAAGAATCGCACCACTCACGCAGGCAGCCATAGCAATCACCCTGCTGTTTGACATTGGCCCCGCATGATTCTTTCAGCCAGTCCCGGAATAGCTCCTCATCCTTCTTCAGCACCAGGAACTGACCCAGGACCACGTAAGCCTGTGGATGTATGCAAGTGAGAATGGAGAAGGAAAAAGAGAACATGAATGATAATACACTAACCACTAGGTAAAAGTTGCACAACAATGCATTATCTTTTCTTGCTAGCACTGACTTTGCTATACTTACTATGACTGTGATGTGGTATATGAAATGACTATAATGTAAACATTCACAAAATAAAGTTCCATTATGAAAGTTCCAACAAAGTTAAGTATACTCTGCATCACCTTGTCGAAGCCCTTCTCCTCCAGTCTCTTGCCAAGCACCTCTCCAATGCCAGCAAGTGCATTGACTGGCTTCTCCCCCATGGGTTCTGCCACAAACTCCTTGTGTTTCTGGGATGTTGACGACATGGCTGCTTTCTGTCAGTGATCACCTTAAGTACCTTCACACAGGGAACTGAATAGAACATGAAGCAATTTACTAAAAACATCAGCTAAATATGATTCACAGCAGTGTCACAATTTGTTTAGAACATACAGTATTTGGGACTGGAGTGCCCTATGACCCCAAAGTGACATTATCAACTTCAAAACTGAAACCAAACGCTTTCCACGTTCTTTACCTAAATTATGGTAAATATACAAATAAATATAGCATATTTTCCTAAACTTGCCCAGGGCCCGGTTTCCCGATAGCAATGGAACTTAAGCTTACGAGTGTTTTAACGATGCATATTTCCTACAATGGCCGATGTAACGAGTTTCCCAAAACACCACGCAGAGATCGCAGTGTTTTGTTGGAGCGTCTGTCGATATTGATAGGATCGAAAGAAAGGGAGCGCTGCTCTCGGATCAGCCTTCTCCATTCAAATCTTACCTTAACATTACAATTTTCACAATACTGACGACGGATCAGCTCCAAGAGGGTTACCTACCACCTAAGGTTGCAAATATTGAAGCGGCTTATTCTAACGCTTACCCACTAAAAATGCACTGAATCACCGATTTGGCACATCATTGCGCACGTTAGTCTGGCTTCTCCCCCATGAAATGAATTAGACAGTAGTCTACAAGTAGCAAAATATAACTAAATTAATTGAACATTAAATGTATTTCAATATGATTAAAATAGGCCTATAGCCTACTGTTTATTTTAAAGCAGTCATTTCGGTTCATTTTAAGCATATTTTTATACGCCGTTTGTTTGCATCAATTGCGAAGAGTTTGTGTTTGTGGTCAACTTTGTTCTGAAGTTAACGTGGTCAGAGATACAAATAAACCACGTGATTCTATGTTTAGCGTAGCCTTGATCATGACTGTCAGTTCCATTACATTACACACAAGAGTCATTGGACAAAGGAGTTCTGTAGGGAGTTTTGTTAAGATCCGCGACGCTCGGTCTGAACATGAACACGCATCGCTTGCGGTACGGTTTTGGAAGCATAAGGACCTTCTCTTTCATATCGGTGAGAAATAATTTTCTAAAAAAAAAAAAAAAAGGTTAAATTGATACACACCTTTATAGGGTTCCCATACAGCCATATTTCCATGTTACAGCGCTTGTTTACGAAAAACAGACGGAAGACCGAGTGGACTACCTGTGCTAATTAGCTAGCTGCATCTCCAAACACCTGTGTGTAAACGGAAGACAGACGCCCCAAACGTCACTGGAAAAAAAAAAAAAAAACTGTAGGCTGCAACTGTAAAACAGGTTAAAACAGTGTACAGTAAAGTGTGTATTTTGCATTTGTGAAATTACTTTGATGTGATATGAAAGTAGAGGGAATTGTGTTAATAGAACCATATCACAATTGAGAATCGATTCACGTTTACATTTACATTTTAGTCATTTAGCAGACGCTCTTATCCAGAGCGACTTACAGTTAGTGAGTGCATACATTATTATTATTATTATTTCATACTGGCCCCCCGTGGGAATCGAACCCACAACCCTGGCGTTGCAAACGCCATGCTCTACCAACTGAGCTACATCCCTGCCGGCCATTCCCTCCCCTACCCTGGACGACGCTGGGCCAATTGTGCGCCGCCCCATGGGTCTCCCGGTCGCGGCCGGCTATGACAGAGGCTGGATTCGAACCAGGACCACTGCGCCACTCGGGAGACTTTAGATGGAGTTTAGATGGAGTATTTTGATGTTTTGGCTTCCAGAGACAATTCACCCTTTAAAACAGAACATGTAAGGTCCTTGGACTAAGGTGTAACGTTAGGCTCCTTTACATGGCCAGCTCTAGCCTTTTGGGGGCCCTAAGCAAGATTTGGTTTTGGGGGGGGGGGGGGGGGGGGGTTGGCTTGAAACATTTTAGTTTTAAAGTTTATTTCCTGCAATTCTACACATTTTTCAATGACATGCCACGTTAATATGATAGTGAGAATGACTAATGATTACTATAAGTTTAGATCGATGGCTAGACTAACTACCAACAAACAAACAAATTGTTAGCTGAAATGGTTATTGGGTGACTGACATAACAAGAGAGAAACTGGTGATGCACAACCAAATGTTGAGACCCAGACTGAGTTCCTAGCAGGGGTCTCATAGCGGCCGGGGGCCCTAAAGGTGTCAGCATGCTTCAGTTCGGCTGGTGGCTAGGTGAACTGAACGAGTGCACTCGCATGCTACCTATTCGCTTGAAAAACAAACGGGGGGGGGGGGGGGGGGGGGGGCGTCAATATTACTCCGGGACAGTAGAGGGCGATGAGCTGGTAATAGCCATCTACAGCCAAACAAGAAATAATAAAATAGTGTACACAGAGACACTTGACTGGTGAGAAAATGGAAGTTGTGTGAATTGCCCGGGATCTACTAGATTTATGTACCTAGCAACACATAATAGGCGAGATATGGAGACAGAAGATGCCTGCTACAGGTTCACAATGGTGGATGTAGGGCCATACGGCCGAGAGAGCTATGGTGGAGTGTTTCAAGAGTTATTTTGTGTTCAAACTGCTGCAGAAGACCCTCAATTTACGCCAAGTCCTTATGTTTCCAGCTTTCCCACTACATGAGAAACTCATGCGCCCTTATCCACGTATGTTGATACTAGAATGTTGGAATCCATTTCACTTGTTTTTTTTTAATGGTTCCTGGAAAATTGTATGTTTTGTTTACTATTTATCTATACTGAACAAAAATATAAAACGCAACATGCAACAATTTTACAGTTTACATAAGGAAATCAAATCAATGTAAATAAATTCATTAGGCCCTAATCTATTGATTTCACATGACTGGGCAGGGGCGCTGCCATGGGTGGGCTTGGGAAGGCACACCCACTTAGGAGCCAGGCCCAGCCAATCAGAATTAGTTTTCCCCCCTCAAAAGGGCTTTATTACAGACATAATTACTCCTCAGTTTCATCAGCTGTCCGGGTGGCTGGTCTCAGACGATGTGTCAAGGGCTGAGTCTTCAGCTCTTTTCTCCCTTCTCACACCCCTGCTTCTACTGCTGCTGCTCTGTGGCATCGCTGAGGAGCAAGCCAGTGGAGTAGGTCTTGCAGATGGGCCCAGGATAGAGCTTCCCAGGTCCTGCATGGAGATTGTTTCTAATTCTGCACTGCAGCTCAGTGTGGGAGATGGGCTGGGGGCCGATGTCAGTACTGGGGGCAGAGGTAATGCTTCGGGCCAGTGAACAGGCAGTGCTGTGGCGCAGAGAACAGAACCAGGTGCTGTCTCCATTCACTGATGTTTGAGCCTTGAAAAATAAAAAAGTAGAGGGCTATTCAGTACACATATCCAAAATGACCAATTCACATAAAATATCATTAAACAGAGACTACAATAGACCATATAATGTAGCAAACGTTTGAGCAGAGTTGAGGAGGCCTGGCCTAGCTACTCAACTCTGCTCAAACGTTTGCAACAATTTGACTTGCTGGACCTTGCTACCAAACTTTGACTTTGGTGTTACCAATGTGGGAAGCTTATGATTTTCTTTCTCTGACAATAATGTTTGATCAAAAGTTGTAAATATCTTTACTTTAGTTAGCTTGCTTTCTCTGCACACGTATGCAGCTAAGCTAGCTAGCCACTAGCCAGCCAAGTAGCTAGCGCTAGCTATTGTTTGCAAAACATGGCTACTCTTTTCGTCGACTACAATAGAAAATACAATAACATACCTCATTCTTTGGTGAAGATGGCATGTTGCTTTTCAGTCTTCCCATGCCGAACAAGCCAGCAGCAACATTTCTGGAATAGCTTTTACACCGGCATTTCCGCCGCGGCCCTTGTTTATTTTCTTTGCCTTGAACTTGTCGCGAACCCTACCCCACTTTTTCAAACTAGTGGTTGGGTCGGACCCCAGTGTCTCCGCAATCTCCCTCCATGAATTTGCATTTACATGCTGGTCTTTATATAATTAATGACTAGAATTGTAGTGGTGAAGGTACTTCTGTACCTCCTCGGTCAATCGATGCTCCATGTTGTCATTCACCATGTTGAATCCACACGGATTTGCGGGCTGAATCGACAAGAAGAAGAAACTTGCGTCACCCCTACAGTTGACCAATCACGGACAAAGGGGTGTAGATTCAGCTCCAGAACTTCAGCTGGCCTTGAGAAAAATGTGTGCCCGAACAGCCTACAAAATCCTAGCCAAACACCAAAACGTCCCAAAATGTCATTATAATACAGTGTATTCGGAAAGTATTCAGACCCCTTGACTTTTTCAACATTGTTACGTTACAGCCTTATTCTAAAATTGATGAAATTACTTTCCCCCCCCCTCATTTACACACAATACCCAATAATGACAAAGCGAAAAGAGGTTTAGAAATGTTTGCTAATTTATTACAAATAAAAAAAAAACATACCTTATCTACATAAGTATTCAGACCCTTTGCTATGAGCCTCGAAATTGAGCTCAGGTGCATCCTGTTTCCATTGATCATCCTTGATGTTTCTACAACTTGATTGGAGTCCACCTGTGGTAAATTCAATTGATTGGACATGATTTGGAAAGGCACACACACCTGTCTAGATAAGGTCCCACAGTTGACAGCGCATGTCAGAGCAAACACCAGGCCATGAGGTCGAAGCAATTGTCCGTAGAGCTCCGAGATAGGATTGTGTCGAGGCACAGATCTGGGGAAGGGTACCAAAAAAATGTCTGCAGCATTGAAGGTCCCCAAGAACACAGTGGCCTCCATCATTTTTTAAATGGAAGAAGTTTGGAACCACCAAGACTCTTCCTAGAGCTGGCCGACGCCTGCCAAAACGGAGCAATCGGGGGAGAAGGGCCTTGGTCAGGTAGGTGACCAAGAACCAGATGGTCACAGAGCTCCAGAGTTCCTCTGTGGAGATGGGAGAACCTTCCAGAAGGACAACCATCTCTGCAGCACTCCACCAATCAGGCATTTATGGTAAAGTGGCCAGACGGAAGCCACTCCTCAGTA